CAATAGGGGCAAAAGTTCATACCTTTCCCCTGAAGGTTTTTCTTTTCATTGGAAAGTTTCATTGACGTTGCAAGCATTCTGTACTCAGCATTAACAAATAGCAAGGTTCACACACACACACACATCCCCAACCTAATAGGAGTGGGACGGGCTCTCATTGAAACTAGTCAAGCCAGACGCCAATTCCAGTGTAGTTTCGTTTTAATTAAAAAAAAATCATTCATGCTTTACCCTCTGCAAGTTTTTCCTCATAAAAATTCAGTAGACCGATAAATCCTTGCCTAGCCCCAACATAATTGCCATCTACCGATCATAAGGCCACCCCAAAAAAATAATCGGTCTCTGGTCAGACCGAAGTTCTTGAATTGATGCGGCGACGCGGGGTTTTTTTTTTTGGTGGCTTTTTTTTTTCAAGCTTGAATTGTACAGACAAGGTGGGTACTATTTTGCTTTTTTGTGTCCTCATTATACATTGGTGTCCTCCATAATTTGCCTTGGTGTCCTTTATCATTTGCCTTGGTGCAATTTCCCCATTCCTTGGTGCTCCTTGGTACAAAAATTTGAGGAGGTGCGGCAATAGAGGGCGCTGTTGTAGCTTCCGTGTTAATTTGAAGAAGAAAAAAAAGGTTGACGCGCATGATTAAAATCGACGCGCGCGCTGACTAGAGACCGAGTATTTATTTTTGTGGCCTAAACGTAAAAATGCATTTGGTCTTTTAGTATTTTATATTTGCCATTCCCTGTAACAAACAAATGGCAATGGAAATATATTGAGAGCTACATCGTTTGGTGAGTTAGAACTATGTGAAAATTTTTATGAACAGAAATTCATCCGCTTCCAGTGGAACCATTTGTTTTAACTTGAATCAAAAAATCCTTGAAAGTGGCCAGGAATCGCCTCAGATTGCACCACAGAGCATCTACATTCCAAATTAATCCACGACGTAAGGGCTTTGCGGTCCGCTTTCGTATTAATTTTGTCCGTCCTTTAGAAATTCCAGCACCCCCTGGCAAAGGTTTGTTCCAGCGGCAGTGTTCATACTGTATGTTTACACATCTCTCCCGAGCCATACATAACAGCAACCTGTGATGACCATCATAGATGAATATCGTAGATAAAGATGAAACTCATTCCAAAGTTTTTCCCGCAGATATCGGATGTTGAAAGTATCCAAGATGGAGGGAAGCTGGCTGCTCGTTCTTACAGCCTTTGCGGTATTTTTCGTGGAGTTTGGTATACTGAAATCCTTTGGGGTGCTGTTCAACCCAATGCAAGACTCACTTCAGTGTTCTACAGCCGTGTTGGGGACCGTCGTAAGCATGACACACAGCCTAGGCCTTGTTTTGGGTGAGCGTGTGTACGACATTCGTTTTGATCATGGATATTAGCTGCTAACAATAAGTTCATTGCATTCTTCAACATCATCTTTCCTTTATGTTAAACCTGGCTCATTAGGCCAAGTACAAAAAGTAGTTTCTTGTCCGGGCATTTTTGCAAATGCCCATTTTTGCAAATGTCCCCCAAGATGCATGCGGACTTTCCGAGATGGCGGATGGATTCTTCCATTTTCTCGACTCTTTTGTTGATACTTTTGTTTCCAAAGAGGCCGTCACCCTTTCAACCAGATTTTGAACTTGCATACATACTTACGAGTTTACTCGTGGAAAATGAAAAGACAAAATATACAATGTAAATGTATGATTCAAATTAAATAGGGAAAGGAGGTGGATAGACGCAAAGTGGACAGGGCGAGAAACTGGTATATAATTATTTACTTGGTCACGACTGTCCTCCTTTTTTTAATTGTCGAGCTGATAGACAATATATTGGAGATGAAATTCAAATTAAGCGCGCCGCACACCTTAATTTACTGGTTTACCGGATCACCGAATCACCGGTACTGTTTGTTTACTCACACACGTGGCCGATTCCTTTCTGTACTCAGTCACATGATGATCAGTCCCAGATGACCAGTCACGTGATTGATAACAAAATAGGAGCCGTCAATTATGATTCATGTGACTTTCTTCGTGAATCTGATTGGTAAACATGAATATCGCGTCCGGTGAAATCGGAGTGCTGCCCGCACACTCCGGTGACATCGGATCCTGTGAAATCGGAGGCAAAAAAAAATCAAACACGTTTGAGTTCACCCGGTCGACCGGTGTAAGGCCAGATCGGCCCGAATTTTCATCGCACACATCTGTACGGTGGCCCGATGATCCGGTGAACTGGTAAAATCATGGGTGGCTTGTGCGTAAAGCGCTCGCCTCATCAAGGTGACCACGGTTCGAATCCTGGCCGCGGATCATGGCCTGGCCGCGGATCACATAGAGGACATCATAAAATGTTAGAATATCCCAAAATCTCAGATTTCAGAAAATCTCGGTTTTGGACGGATGCGTCACTTCGTCAAAACGGTGACGAATGTGAGTAGAGTTGTGTGTTTGTTCTCTCCTGTGCCACGAGGGTTTTTCTCCGGGCCCTCCGGTTTTCCTCCCTCCGGAAAAATCAAACACTTTCGATCTCAGGTTGTGCTCCGTGGTCATTAGTCAATGTGGCCGGCAGCCAAAGGCGCCTTTACGTGCCAGCGGCCCGACCACGTTGTAGCCGCGTCCTTCGCAATTCAGCATCCCAGCTGCCAGTAAGGGCCCGTCACACTTCTGCGTATCCTAATTCCTTATGAGGTGCGCATTGACATTTTTTTCATACGCAGTCGTACGCACAATACGCACCTCATATGCATCTCTATCGTTTTGTGTAAGTTTTATGTACGCAGGCATACGCATGGTACGGCCCAATACGCCGGATAGTTTTGGGCATGCACAAAACTACGCTGCGTACGCTGTTACGCAGGTCATAAGTTATAAATACGCAGCGCATCGGTCCCGCATCGGTCGAGCACGGTACGAGTACGCTATGTGTTCGTGGGGGATAAGCGGTTCATACGCAGTAATACGCTGACCTCCCGGCACGCACCCCGTCAGCATGATGAGCCGCCTATATTGGACGTATACATAGCGTACTTGCAGCGCAGATACAACGCACGCTGAACGAACTCATAGCGAATGCCGACGTATTGCGTCAGGCATGCGGTCGGCATAAAGCGGCCTTTCCATAAATGCGTTTTGCGTCCGTTTTAAATCCGTTGCGTATACGATGCGTTTTGCGCAAGTCGTTTGTCTTTCCATCAGTGCGTTTTTTTGCGTCCGTAAAATGTGCGTTTTGTGGCCATAGCAACAATTAAAATCAGTGCTGGCATTTTGACTCTTTCGATGACATTCATTCAGCGCGCGCTCTATCTACAGCGAATTTGCACTGATCAAAGGTTATGGAACATGCGCATTATTGTCCGTAAACATTTTGGCATCCGTTAAAATCGCTCTGTGTAGCGATTGTGACGGACGTCAATAACGGACACGCAACGCATGGGTGTATATGGAAAGGAGCTTATGTTTTTTCTGTGTTTCGATTCATCATTTCGGTAAAAACTCAACGTATACACATCGTATACGCAACGGGCACAAAACGGACACAAAACGGACCGAAAAACGCACTTATGGAAAGGCGGCTTGAGTCGGGTGCGTCCGGAATACGCTCAGCATGCGCACTGCATACTGACCTATTCGCAGCCCGAAAAATAATGTTGTGCACTGCATACGCAACTCATACGAATCTCATACGCAATAGATGCGCTGAATTCGTTACTTGTACGCTAGATGTGCGTCGCACATAAGTCAAAGTATTCAAAAAATTTCGACGTTTTGAGCGTACGGCTGCGTATTGAAAAATGTTGATAAGGAACTCATAAGGAATTAGGATACGCGAAAGTGTGACAGGGGCTAAAGCCCCTGTCACACCTTTGCGTATCCTTTAACGTCGAAATGTTTTGATCACTTTGACTTATGTGCGACGCACATCTAGCGTACAAGTAACGAATTCAGCGCATCCATTGCGTTTGAGATGCGTATGAGTTGCGTATTCAGTGCACAACATTATTTTTCGGGCTGCGAATAGGTCAGTATGCAGTACGCATGCCGAGTGTATTCCGGACGCACCCGACTTATGCCGACCGCATGCTTCACGCACTTCTGAGCGTATTCCCGCCGCATTTCTGCCGCTCGCCGTTCAGCGTGCGTTGCATCTGCGCTGCAAGTACGCTATGTATACGTCCAATACAGGCGGCTCATATGCTGACGGGGTGCGTCACGAACACATAGCGTACTCGTAACGCACTCGACCGATGCGGGACCGATGCGCTGCGTATTTATAACTTATGACCTGCGTAACAGCGTACGCAGCGTAGTTTTGTGCATGCCCAAAACTATTCTGCGTACTGGGTCGTACCATGCGTATATCTGCGTACATAAAACCTACACAAAACGATAGAGATGCATATGAGGTGCGTATTGTGCGTACGACTGCGTATGAAAAAAATGTCAATGCGCAACTCATAAGGAATTAGGATACGCAGAAGTGTGACAGGGCCCTAAAGGATGATTAGCCTCCCAAATTATTATTATTATTATTATTATTATATTAGGTTGCTTTAACCTGTCGCACAACCTTCCGATTTTACCGATTCACCGGATCACCTCATCACCGGTACGGTGCTTTCACTGTTGCTTTCCACAGTTCCAACTTGAATAACTAAGTTCGGTTTCCAACTGCGTCTGCAACAAATACGTATTGACAAGTGTCGCTGGGAGATAAACAACAAAATTGAAAAGTTATAATCCTGAAGTACGAACAAATCGAAAACTTTCTATGACACAATGGTTTTTTTATGCTACATTCAACTTTTGTTGTAGTTATATTTCCAGTTTTATTCCCGATTGAATAAAGAATTGCAGACCGATAGACCCACCACTGCATTTTATCTGAAGTTTGATGTGCACTTATACAGGTGGAAGGCCGAACTGGCCTATCAAATTTATCTTGCTACTGCCTGGTTCAGCATGACCAGAAATGGTTTTATGTGTCCACAGCTCCTCTGACTGGCAACATTGCACGGACAGTCGACAATCGCTTGTGTGTGATGACTGGCGGAGGATTGCTCTTCGTCGGGTTCTTGGCTACTGCGTTCGTCAGTAACGTTTATCAGTTGGCCATCACTCTTGCACTAACAGGTGTGTATATCAGAATGTTTTAGCAGCCTAAGCAATCTGAAGTAGACGGTCATCATTCTGTCATAAAGGTGAAGTCCTATTGAGCGCAGTGCCAATCAATGTTCCACCCTTCAAAAACAGTGCAGTTGCTATATCTCGTAGGGAACACTGTCAAGTTTTGTATTGTGGCATCGATCGTACATGTATTGGCACACGAGTTATGTGGTAACTCCGTTATACATCTAATGCAAGTTGCAACTTCTCTAAATCATTTTGTACCTAAACGAAACACAGCATCTGGCCCAAACTGCATTTTTTTTACCATATGGTCTGAATTGTAGGCAATCTTACGGTACGCAGGATTCTTTAAAAGAGCATAAAATGTTCGTAATTATGAGGGGAAAACGGAATACTGATTATGAATTTTGTTTTCGTTTTGTTTTGTTTGTTTGTTTGTTGGGGTGTTTCTTTTTTCTTGGGGGGGTAGGTTTTGGTCTGAGCCTTGCGTACTTGCCACAGGTAATGCTGTTGATGGTGTCTTTTCCTGAGCGATTCCCCTTCATGTTTGGCCTCGCTGGATTGGGCGGTTCGTTTGGTATGATGGTGTGCCCACCTATTGTCGACCTTCTGACGATGACGTATGGATGGCGTGGCGCCATGCTAATCATTGCTGCCGCCAGTCTGAACGTCACGGCATGTGGCGCCTTACAGAGGCTGCCGCCGTCAGGTTATGCGAAACTAAAAAAAGAAGACAGTGAAAGCTCACATAACGGACCAAGCGACATCCGTTCCAAGCTCAGTGCCTTTGCCTCTTCAGTGGTCCAATGGCTCTCGTTGCATTTCTGCGTCAAGCATCCCAGGGTGCTGCTGCATTTAACTACATGGCCCCTCCTGGGAGCCGTGTTCGCGGCTTGGATGGTGTTCCTGGTTCCACACGCTATAGCGAGGGGTATCCCTAGCGTTCAAGCTGCCTTCCTGTCAACGGCAGGGGGAATTGGACATCTTCTCGGCAGGGCTGTCCACCCATTCATCCTTGACCGCAAGCTCATGAGCGCGTTCTGGATGTTCGTGGTACTGAATCTCGTCAATACTGTCTCCTTTTTCCTGGACTATGCAGCTGCGGATAACTATTTGGTAAGTCCATTCAACATAGCAGTGTTTGCACGGCGTTGGCCGAGGTTGATTATGTGCTTGTTTGAAATAGCAAGACAGTTGTGAAAAAAAGCATTAAACGAGGACCCCGTTGTTAACATGGTAAGGAATTCTAGATAAGAGAACTTACAAGGGCATTATACATGTCCGTTGCACTTTTAAACAAGTAAATGTTGTTTTCACAATAAAATATATAAAAAAAAACTATTGATTTGTGGGGGGCATTCTAACCCTGCAGGCTCTAATGTTGTTGGCCGGCGTAAACGGGGCTGCAGAAGGAGTCATCAATTGGATTGCTCTGTCGGTCACGAAAGAACTCTACGAGGAAACAGGCTATGTCACGGACATTTACATAATAGGTATCTGCCTATTCGGCACTGGGGAGGTGTTGGGCAGTTTTCTTGCGGGTAAGATTCAATTCTATTCAGTTTAATTCAGGCGATTCACAATGCAGTGTTACACCAAGATAGTTTGCCATGGAGAGTCCAATATTTTCAAGTTTACGGTCGACAAAACACGGCCCATTTGAATGAGTGTAATTCGTATAGATTGGGGCATAGCGTTCTGCCACCTTACAAAAAACACCACATTGAACTAAGAAAAGAAAAGGGCAAACATGTACTCGAACCTTACGCTTATGAAACTAATGAAAGGAAAGCCTTAACAATTTCAAATGTTTTGCGCTGCGAATTTGTCAACAATCTCCCACAAAGCACTGCGAAAAATGAACTCTCCGTGGCAAACTCTTGGGGGCGCACTGCATTGTAATCGCTCGAATTCAAACATGTTAATTTAATTAACCAAATGCGATTCGCAGCCAAAGGCTGAATTGAAAGTTATTTACAATATAAAAAATGAATGATAATAACTACGATTCGTGTTTTATTAAAAACTACCGGCTTAAAAAGAAAAACGTAACAATTACAAAACACCATCACAATACAATAAACATTAAAATAAAATACAGATTACCCACAAGTAGGATATCTTTCAATTAAATCGATACAATCAGATACAATCATGAGAAGAAAACGATCAATTAAAGGTTGGTCTTATATAGTAAATGTATTGGTTATTGAAGAGCACGTTTCTGCATATACGTGTTGATTAATAATTGGGCTTTGGATACAATGTGGTTTTTTTTGGGGGGGAGGGGCAAAAAACCCTGTTGGTCCAACAAAAAGTGGTTCGAAAAATTACGGCGTGGGGTTCGTGGCCCGTGTAAGGGCCCCGATTTGGGGGGATTCTAGATGCTCTGTGGTTCGATCTGAGGCAATTTCTGACAATTTTTATCAAATCTGTTTGAGGAAAAGATGGTGGTGCACGCAGTGCCTGCCTGAATTGCGACGTCTCTAAAAAAAAAAGGGGGGGTCACGGCCCCCGTTTTGCCCCACCCCCTGATCCGCCCTTGTCTGGATATCCTTTCATTTCTTTCATTTCATTCATTTCATTTGTTTCAATTTAGGAGAGTTATACAACCTGACGCAAAACTACAGTGCTTCGTTCTTCTCGCTTGGTTTCATGGCTGGTGTAACGACGGCTATGTGTATCGTGGATCGCTTGGCTTCAAAGTGTTTCACTGACACCGGTTGATTGCAATGGACATTTTCATTTTCACATACACTGTAACGTAACTTCAGATTAATATACAAACATAACATGGTTTGAGGGTGGACAGTCGATATTCGCTCCCCGAGGCATTGGAAGTTGACAAACTAGTTCCCGAGGCGAAGCCGAGGGAACTACTTTGTCAACTTCCAATACCGAGGGGAGCTAATATCGGCGGTCCACCCGAAATAAACCATGTTATATTTGTTTTACTATACCTCATACATATTCAGCGCCGATTGGTTTTTTTTCCGTTGCATGATGAACCTCAAATAATATTTTTGTTGAAAAACTTGTCCAGTTCACCAAAAGAATCGTATTGCTCAACTTCACTAGTTCAGTTCGTTTACCATACAGTGCAGCTGTAAATACAGTAGTTTGTGTACAACATTCTTTTGTACAGGAGGCATCTTTAAAAAATAACTTAACTATCTCTTCGTGTGTAGCTCGTTTGGGCGATGTTCGCGCGTGCGTACTACACCCGTGCGACAGTTCCAGGATTGCTTTGTGAAGCGCATGCGTAGTAAACTGTTGCACGGGTAACCCGTGCGACAGTCTACTACGCATGTGTATTTACTGGTGAATTGACCAGTGAAAGTTCGGCTGTCGATCATGAATATGTATGAGGTATAATAATTCAAAATAGTGCTGGAACCTGCTCATAGACCCATTGCAGTGTGCCCTCACCGAGGGCAGTCTTTCGCTATTCAAATTCAGTGACAATGAACCCACAAACTCGTGCATGTCATATGCACAGAGGAACAAAGACGACTATGTGTACAAACAGGTGAAAGTATAAACCATAGTAAGGCCAACAAAATATATATTCGGTCTCTGGTCAAACCAAAATGCCGGAATTGACGCGGCCACGCGGCTTTGGTTTTTTTTTTTTTTTTTTGCTTTTTTTTTTTTCAAGCTTGGATTGTACAGACTACTGGTACTATTTTGCTTTTTTGGTGTCCTCATGTACATTGGTGTCCTCCATAATTTGCCTTAGTGCTCTCGATCCTTTGCCTTGGTGCAATTTCCCATTCCTTGGTGCTCTTTGGTAAAAAAAAATTGAGGAGGTGCGGCAATAGAGGGCGCTGTTGGAGCTACCGCGGAACATTTTGGAAAAAAAGATCGACGCGCATGATTAAAATCGACGCGCGCGCTGACCAGAGACCGACTTATTTTTTTTTTGGCCTAATAGCTGTAGACGGACTGACAGTTCGATCAGAGTCGAACTTTTGTGAAAGACAAAACGATACTGAGCTCGAAATGTCAGGCCCACACTACATCCAAGAGTAACTTTACAAAACTATTACAGTGTTGCCTTTTAAGCAACTGACATTGCAGGCATTGAAATAATAATAAAAATAATAATAATAAAAACAAATGAACACTAATAGAAGGTTATGGTGAACATCCGCCCACTGTTTAAACAGTATGTGCGATGCGTTATGTGTTATTATCATGTGCTTGGGGCCTTGGGTCAATAAAGTTATTGTTCTGGTGAAATACATGTTTCAGGTCTGCAGCACATTTTTACATTTTAAGCACAAAAGATATTTTGAGCCTGCCCATTTTTTTTTTCATTTTCAGGTACTAAACATTAATAGTCGCTTTCCTTGTCCCGACGAGGTCCCTTAGAATTATTTGAGGTCACTGGGTTGACAGGAACGTGAATTTAACACGGATACGTAAAAACGAAGACTGATATATAGGTTTTCCCGGCCAATTTCCTAAAATGTTCATTCACTTCTGAAAATTAGCAAATCATTTTCGTCTGAATTTGAGAATCGCTCTGAACACGCGTTTCATTTTCGCTACCAGAGCATTTGATTCCATTTCAGTTTAATCAATTAAGTGATTGAGCAGCACCTTTCGTTTATGTCCATTCAGATTCGTTTACAAGACTTCTTTTATAGGGCGATTTCAAACAGTCACCAGTCTATTTCAATTTTAGTTTATTGCTTTCTGCCTCGAATTGCAGAGGAACAGGCATTTTTATGTTGCCACCAGAAATGTTGAACGGACTTCATTTCTGGGTGAGATTTCTGGCCCACGGTCTACAGGGCCATTCTCAACATTTTCACTTCGTTACCACGGGACTTTGACTCATTTTATCGTATAGCGCCCTCACGCACATGGACTACATCATGTCAGTATTCTCCGAGGGCAATTAAATGAATTTTGACAGACATATGCAAGGTTTTTTTATCATATGAGGAAAAACTTTGTAGTTTTTGTTTTGGTTTGATACTTTTGTTTTGTTTTGACACTTGTTTTGTTTTGACACTTTTGTTTTGAGTTGACAATTTTGGTTTGTGTTGACACTTTTGTTTTGTGTTGTTTTGTTTTCCCAATATGTTTTTCTCAGCTGTTGTATGTTTCTTTGACATTTTTTCAAGTTTCGTTTTTACAAATTGTGACAATACTGGAAAGCTCAGTTAATAGAGTGTTCATAATGCTAGTAATCATGTGGTCGTGGGTTCAAATCACGCCAGGATAATTTGTAACTATGTGTACATCGTCATATTTATCTCTACAGGGTGAGTAAATAAACCGGAACCCAACCCCCCAAAAACTTTATTTCATATTTAAAAAATACGTAGCCCCGATGAATGTGCGCCATTTTTGTTGTTTCTCATGGATGAGCAAAAAAATTAACATAAAGTCATACAGCTAAATGTATCTGTCCTTAAGCACGTGACCTAGCTCAACGCGCGCGAAGCTAGAAATGCGCACGGTGAGTACATACGCGCTGCGCACACACGTTGGTGGGCCGCTTTCCGTTTCGGTTACGATAATTTATTTTCTGCAAATTTATAAATCTGTGAACCTTTACATTGTGCAAGCCACTTACTCAAGAGCAAATGGTTTTTAGTGCAAGCGTTTGCTTAATTTGTATTCATACAGATACGGGTACATGTTTACAAATTGGCAGTAAAAGCCAATGCCATGTTTTATTTATACGAACATGGTACCGGTATTATTTGTACTTGATAAACTTTTATATTTCAATTTTTCACGATTAACATTAATAAATGCAGTATTGTTTGGGCAAAATTATTTGCATTTATATCTTCAAGGTAGCCCCAAGCCAGCCTTAAAATATGGCAAGAAAATATTTGAAATCTGAAGCATTTACTCCTTTTTATTCATATGAAACAAAGTACACGCTTATAGTGTAGCAAAAGCTAAAACTTAAGGTGAAAAGAAAATATTTTCAGATTTTAGCAAGTGGTTTTCAGTAAAATCGTTTGCTTAATTTGTATTCACACAAAATGCTTACAAATTGGCAGTAAAAGCAAATGCCATGTTTTATTCATACGAACAGGGTATCATGTGTACTTTATGAATTGTTTTAATATTCATTTTTCGCGATTAACATTAATAAATGCAGCATTTTTTGGCGCATAATGATTGCTTTATAATGCCAAGGTTGTCTCAACCCAGCCTTACCATATTGGTGGGAAAAACATATGCCATGTTTTATTCATACGAACATGGTATTATTTGTACTTTATGAAATTTTTTAATATTAATTTTTCCCGATTAACATTAATAAATGCAGTATGCAAAGAATGATTTGCTTTATAGTCTCAAGGTTGTCGCAAACCAGCCTTGCCAAATGACAGGTGCATGTTTGAAATCTGAAGCATTTACGGGTTTTTTTTATTCATAAGAAACGAAGTAAACGATTATTTCTTTCTTTCTTTATTTATTTTTCTATTTATTCATTTCTGGTAGTGAAACCAAGGATTCCTCAAGAGTTCATGCCCCAGGCACTGTAGCTCGCAAGCCTGAAGAAACATGTAGAGAGAAGACAGTGAGAAGTAATTACAGTTTTAGAGGTGGGAGGAAAAGCCCAGAAGAATACCGAGTGGTATGTGGAACACAGCCGCACTACAGCCATGTGGTTACGTTCTTTCAGCAAAAACGAAAACGGTTCACACACATCCCTATGTGATTTTGTTTTCGTTTTACTGAAAAAAAAACTGAACTTTTTTTGTGATCCGTGGACAGAACCCTAAAACGGTGGTTGTGTTTAAAATTCCTAAACTTTAAAAGCACATGAGCTTATGAATTGGACTTTCATATCCTCGATTTTGAAAGTGCTACATGCAGTACTTCACTAAAACAACGGTCCCAACATTTGGGTTTCGTTGTGTTTTTTTAACTCACCCTGTATAGACACGTTTGCCATTTTATTTGCAAATAATTTGTTTACCATATGCTAGTCTTTTAGTTATTGAAGGTAATTACTTTCGAGAATATCAACAACAGTTGATATGGGTCACAATTCTCCGATTCATTGTTGATCAGAGTTAATTTCTCGTAATAGGGACAATTAGAAATAGTGCGGGTAGGGAAACGCATGGGCTGGGGGAGAAAAATGACGATTGTGTCACTTTTTTGTGTAGTTATATCTACATGATCTAAACATTTGGCTGTAGATCATGGAGGAAGGAATAGATGTACAGTTATGATGACAGTTTACCCAAATGGAATAACCACGCAATATGTTGATCTAAAGGCAAAGGGCCTGTAGGATTAGTTTGCATGCATTTATCTCAAATGTAACCTACCGAATTATTGAGAAGTTTGCTTGGATTAAATGATTATCACACTCGTACTAAACACCCCAAGACATCATTCCGTCTGGATTGCTATCGATTTTGAAAGCAAGAAATATGAATGATTCCCAAAGATCGGTCAGTTGACTGATTTTTGGAAATATCGACGAAATCGTGTTTCGCGAACAAAAGGTTGTGCATGTTTTTTTCCCACAAATTTCTCTAAAAAGTGATGATGAGTGGTGTTATTGGAAGCGAACAAACATGCATAAAAGCAAATGATGCTATATACGCCTTTAACATTCCGTATCCCGTACGTATACTATACTCGGCCATACGGTCGCTGCTGTCTCATGCATGCGCGGTTACAATGTGTTGTGGACTGACAGTAATTATCAAGTGCGGGAGATGACTCCATGGTGTATTGTCCGTCATGACCTCTGCGCACCCAACCACGTCAGAGAACACGCGTCGCCTTTAATAAATTATATACGCGGCACCGCTACCATAATTGATTTGCAAATTATTCATTGTGAACTGATCAGCCAATTGGTTTTTCACATGTGCAGTGTACTGCCATTGCGTAAGAGCTAATGCTTGACTGCACTCGTTGGATACCATACCAATTGGTTGCTATTTGCACATCAGCGGCCGCGTGAATAAATATAGATATAGATGGCGGTGTTGAGTGAGCGTTTGCGGATCACACGACTGATTCAATAACAAGGATGTGATCGTACGCACATGCGCTTGGCTCTTGTGCTGTGTATGTATATTTCCGTCGTTGCTTATACCATGGAGCTCCATGCTTATATAAGCCTTTTGAATTGCAGTCAAGGCATTTGATGTGGTGCAAGCACGATAAGTACTCATCGTACGAACCTATTGCTAGATCTACGACCAGACAAAATAAAATGGACTTTAACACTTGAACGCCAGACTGGTCCATACCGCCGTAATACCATGGAGCTATACCCTCAACACGCCTGGTCTTACAGATCGCAGCGACATTCATCAGAACGGAGGAGGCACGTCTCGTCATCACGGACCAGCGTCAATGTGACCTACTCTTCCATATCTCGGTGGGCTGTACTGCGATGCAAACGTACGGTGTTATCATCATACCGCACTATTCTTTTAGTATCTGTACTAGCACCAATGACTGTAGCCTTACTTCTGTTGAGGCCCTCCGCTTACGCTCTCCAGGATGAACTGGGACACATATTAACTGTACAGGGTATTCAAGACAACGCCTACATTTCGACAACAAACAGCAGTTGGAGGTAAGACCTGTTATAATATTGCAATTACGGAAAGTGTTGCATCCAGACCCCCCCCCCCCACGCGCCACCCCCCCCCCCCCCCCACCCGCCACCCCCCATATATCTCAATGAAGGTCGGAAATTGCAAAAATGTTGAAAAGACACGCCTCGATCTGGGGAAAGAGTTCCATACCCGGACATCACTTGACAACCTGTGCACAAACCCTTTGCGACATGTCTGAAAAAAAGTGCCGTGTTTTCTGCGTAAATGCTTCAACATATATTCCCTGCTAAATTTGACGGATGGCATGTTGCAACCTGATGCTGTTTTGACTTCATATATCATCTCCATGAAGGTCAGTCATTGCAACAATGATGATAAGATGTATCCGGGACTGAGAAAAAAATCCAATTTTGTAATAGGAAATACTTAGAAAATGGTCTTGACTCTCCATAGACTTTGTACCCAACCGCTGAAGTGTTGTCCTGTTGCAACATGCATTCTTTCCAATTTGACTTTTTAGGGCACGTTATCGCTTTGTGATGGCTGATAGGTCACTGCAGGGAAAATCAGTGATGTCCATGTTTCGAATTCTTCCCGAATCGGGTTCTGAGGACCTTTCAAATTGTAATTTGAAAATGCACTCGACTCGATTATCTCCATGTACTTTGGAGTTTGGACACAACCAAATGGCATATGGATACTACACTCTACAGTCTGTCCCCATGACAATGTGGTACAATGTGGCCAAAACCCTAGGCCCACTCACGTAAATGTTCTTTAAATGGAACAATTATAATATATATTATATACATGTACCTCCTGCACGAGGAGGGGAATCGTATACATAGGTAATTATACCGCGACGTGCGAGTTCGAGTACGTAGCTGTATGGTGTCCCAGTTAACCGTGTGCTCACACATACTGACCCACCCAAAAGCCACGTCATTATTCACCTGTATAATTACGGCGAGCCTTAATTATATTTCCTACTCTGTTTGATTTCCGATTTTGGATATTATGCATGTCTTCATGCGTACATGAAGAATGTCATAGCTGAAAATATGAATACGTGAAAGCGCATGCATGACCAAGTGAACGGTAGGCTACATGTTGCTTGTCAGGTGAATTATGGAGGTAGGATGCATAATGTTCCCCAATACATATGTTCCCCAATTTAACCCTGACCATCTAACCCTAACCCTAACCCTAAGGATTTGGGGTCTAACCCTAACCCTAACCCTAAGGATTTGGGGGAACATAGGTATTGGGGAACATAGATATTGAGGAACAATGGGTATAGGCCAAGCCTTTCACCAAGGCCATCGTGGCTTAACTTTCCAGCATTCAACGCCTGGAGATGAAGACCACACATGCGAATGGCGAAGCAACGAAGGCCTTTTCTAACTTGTCGAGAAATTCTTATGTTTTTCTATATAATCTCGATATTTGCTACTCCAAAAGGGTAGCAAAATTCCAACCAATCATCAGCCTTTCGTGCGTGCGTGGCTACTACCCGGACGCATCGACGTGCCCGGATGCTTGCACAAAATTTAAAAACAAAAAATGCGAGTCTAGTTTTCCACGAGATCGTGACCGCGTAATTGTTCTTACATTATCTTATTTTAACTTTACTTATAAACGTATTTCAAGTATTATTTGAGTGTATGAACTTATTTTTCATCTGAACTTACAGTTATTTGCTCTTACGTTTTCCTTACTCACCCTTCTTTTAAAAATAGAAGCGACTAGGCAAAATCCACGTTGTGATTGGTTAGCCTTCAGCACTCTTTTTATTTCCATAATTCAACAAAATCAAGTTGGGAAAGGCCTCGTGGCTTTGCCACTCGTGCATGCTGACTTAATCTTTGCTCCAGTCGCTTCGGGTCTTCACAACACCACTGCTCTAGCCACGATGGCCTGGGCGAAAGGCTAGTATAGACCCCGAATTATGGTAGTTGATGTGTTTCACTCAGATTTCTCACACCCGTGACTGCTTTACAACCGAACGGAAGCAGCGTGAATGCAACGCAACAAACCGTCAAAGTAACGCCAAACACCAACAGGTACGGTATGAGGAAAAAAACACTGGTTTCTGCATAGCTTATCATTCACTGTGCGCCATCGATTTCATCGCAACTTCAATCATTACACTACACTATTTGGGGTCTACCCGATGTCAGTGGTGTATCCAATGGGGGGGGGGGGGGGGGGGGGGCAGAGGGGGCAGTCTGTCAGATTTTTGTCACAATTTTTTTGTTCAGCAATTAATTCAATAAATGGTTAACGAGTTTTAACATCAATCCCCAAATCGAAACCCCCCTCAAAAAGCATTACAATGCGCCGTGAAAATGAATCTATAATTTGCAGTATACATAATAATGGTCCTTTTTAAGAGCGCCCCCACTTGGAAGATAGGTACCAGCCCCCCCCCCCCCCCCCGCCCCATTTTTTTTTTAATTTAAGGTGGCCAAGTGTCCAGAGAGAAAAAAAATGTCTACATTTCAGCGCGGATAGGCGGTTGCCTCCTCCTCCCCCCCCCCCCCCCCGACATGCAAAGCTGGATACACTACTGCCCGATGTTCCCCAATACCTTGAGTTCCCCAATACCGATGTTCCCCGAAATCATTAGGGTTAGGATTAGGGTTAGGGTTTGGGTTAGGGTAAGGATTTGGGGGATTTTTTGTTATTATGCTTATATACATGTGCATGCATGTATGTTCAGTGGCTGTCTTTGAACCGCTTATGGCATCGGTGGGGGTACTTGATGGTGGTTTTATTGCAATAGCTTATAGTACGGCAGATTGGCGATAAGATTATTCAGTTTGACGATAAAGGCATGGCATTTGGCACACCGTTAGTCAGACCACGCTCCATGGTCAGACTATAGCCCTGTCCGCACTGGCCTTTTTTTGGTCAAACTAACCGAGACTATGGGTACTTTTCCCATTTTAAGTCCAGTGCGGACAGCCTAGGACGTTTTCCTCTCGGTTACTTTTCCTGAGTCCAGCGGTTACTTTTACTGGCCAACTGCTGCCCAGGAAAACTTCCCACGCGCCCAGGAAAACTGACCAGGTCACTTTTCCCGAGACGATAAGTCCAGTGCGGACAGTGTGAGTCGGTAAAAGCGGCTCAGGAAAGCGTACATCCGGCCCGAGCGCCCTGTTATGCATACAGAGACCGCACGAACCTGCACGTGCGGTGGCTGAACATTTTGTAGAAACACGCTGCAAGCGGTAAAATCTCGTTAAAATATATATTTCAACGGACAAAAATACATATACACAGAGAAGAGAGATCACGTTCTGAGAATTAATTTGCGGAAATTCTCTTTCTCCACCGATGTATGTTATTTTTCACGATCCAAATTCGTCCTGATACGCTACTGTAGTCATGCACGGAACATCATGGTACGTCCGGTACCGTACGTAGGCCGTAGTCACTGGTTCCTGCCCACATCATAGCTTCGATTCTGTAAGCATGCGATGGGAACCAACGAATACTGATGGCACTGCTGCCGCACGGAACATCGTACAGCGGCATGGCTTCGACGACGTGCATCACAAAATGCTTCAGAATGATGGCACTGCTGCCGCACGGAACATCGTACAGCGGCATGGCTTCGACGACGTGCATCACAAAATGCTTCAGAATTATAGGCCTTTTCGTCAAGATTTAGCGTGTCAAGATGAAATAATATCGTGTAAACGATTATGTTGTGCATGCAAATGGCATGTGTAATATTACTGTGCGTATCGGCGGCTGAAAATGTGATCGGCAATTTGTTTTCTGTGTACGGTGAGTCATTTTACTGACACTGTGACAGCTCGGTTACTTCTCCCACGCGGTCTGGGTAAATTTTCCCGTGTCGAAAGTCCAAGTGCGGACAGTGGTCACATTTGACCATTTCTCATTTTACCATCGTCTCGGTAAAACCTTCCAAAAAAAAAGTCCAGTGCGGACAGGGCTTTAGTCATGGGAAAGATATTTGACCATCGCAGATGTGTCCTTTGCAAAAAATATCATAGGATAACAAGACAATTCCAAATTTTTCTAAATAGCGGCCATTGCAGTTTTTCTATGATATTTTTTCAAAGGACAAATCGGCGATGGCCGTAGAGCAAAATATCTTTTCCAAGACCGTGTGCCAAGTTTCGTGTTTTTAATCATCAAATAAACAATGCCATCATATTGTGCACCAATCTGCCTGACTATTAGGCAAAAAGAATGCGGCCGTATCGTAAGTCCGACGCCTCATAAGATTTTGTCGGACCAATGAGGCGTCGGATTTACGAGCGGACCCAAAAAGAATTGACCTATCGCGGTAGAATCGCATCAATTAACGCTGCTTGTGAACTATTGTCCAATTACATGATATACACAATTATTAATGGACGCGGAATCTGAGACAAACGAAACTTAGTGTACACAATTCCATAGGGTTGTCTAAGGGGCGTGGCCAACTCGTGAAACGGCGATAGGTCAATTACAGTACTTCTGCTTCCGGTTCTGCAATCGACCCAATGCCTTCATTTCCCGACTGTTACACTTTATATACGCAATCGATCCGTCTTACTTACAACCGCTGTTTTCGTAAGGAAATTAAATTCTCTATTTTGTTTAAGTATCGCAGAAGCAGAGTAAAGGCAGGGTACTATTGTTCTTTTCTCGGGTGACCAGTTTGGATAGCATTATTGATATAAATGAAATTACAGCCGAAACTACACACTTGGTGTGTTGTGAATAATATATATGTAGGAAATACTAAGCACACGCACACAAGTGTGTATTTGCCAGCAATCGGGGACCACCTATTGTCCCTCTTTTGCTTGTACTCTCAATTTTTAGGAAGACCTCCCATAATTTTTTTTCTCGCAAAATTCGGGGCCTTTCGGAATTTAGCACCGTATTGACCTCTGTATTTTTCAACGTCCCCTATTGAATGCAGAAACAAACTCACGCACACACACAAATTCCCGGTTTCCCTATCTTTTTTGCAACTGCACGTAATCTGAAACTGATACGTATTTTTTCTTGGAATCAAAGCGAAGTGTGTCCAGTGCTTAGTAATAATAAAAAAGGGGGGCTATTTTTAGTTTCGATCGACCTACTTGTGAAAATTATGTTTAAGGAAACGTTGGTGTTCATAATCTCTAGTGGGAATTGGAAATAGTGTGCATAAAATGTAGTTTAAAGGGAATGTACAACATTTTGCTTTTGCTGCAATTTTCAGAAATAAATGGATTGGAGGATTCGAATGTTATAGCAAATATTGTTTAACTGACTTGCCTCACGTTTTGGGCTTGTAGACGGTGGAAAACCTATAAAACCAATCATGTTCTTGTAGTCTGGTTCCCTGACCCCACTTAAGGTGAAACGGAACAATTTATAGACTTCGGGGAATTGTAAGGTCAGAGAATTAGTCTAGCAGGCTTGTATCCCTTCACAAGTGTGAAGTCAATTGCAAAGAAAATGCGGAATAACTAGATATGAAAAATTAGGAGCAGTTTTTGAAGAAAAATACAGATTTCTTGAAAATGTCAGCACACCAGGAGCCACGATTTTACAGGATGCTTTAGACTGTCATTCCCTAACAATCCAGTATGGTATTTCGTGATTATTTGATTATTTCGGGGTTTTTTTATGTTTGCAAATGTTGTATCTTCCCTTTAAATACTCGTAAGTGTCCTTATATAAAACTGCGAAATGTGATCATGCGAATGTACGACTTGTGACAACGGTTCCCTCTGGAATGCGGTTTTAAAAAAAGAACATGACACTGGAACGTGTTGTGCTAATTTCCGTTCTTGTGAAATGTATGAAGCTAAAAGACTCCCCTTTTGGGTAAAATTATTGTAAACTTCACTTTGTAAAACGTTTGAAATGGTCCACGCTTCCTGAAAACTCGGGTCATTGTTTCTGTGATGTCATTTAAGGCACACTCTGTTCAGATTAGGGGACTTGTCTCCAGTTGAGGGGTGCATACCTATGTTCCCCAACACCTATGTGCCCCAACCCTTTCCCTAATCCTAACCCTCTAACTCTAACCTCCTTTTTTTAAGATTTTGGAGAACATAGGTATTGGGTTCCCCAACCCTAACCCTAACCCGCCCAATTCTAAGGATTTTAGGTAGGGAACATAGGTATTGGGGCACATCGTGTAGACCCCAATTTGAGCACTCAACATCTTGCTTTTGGAAAACATTGCAATTATACATTGTATTGTGTTACATTTGCTCATCGACTTACTGTCAGGTGCTGCAAAAACAACAACAAAACAACAACAATATAAAAATAGTTATAATTTACCAAGCAACAAAATCTAAAATTCTGGCAACTTTTGGTGCCAAAGCAGCGTATTACATGTACACTACAGTTTATGTCTTGAACGACATCACGGTTTTCTTCAGCAATATGGAAGTTCGCATTAGCATGAAAAAAGGCAACAAAACACTCTTCACAATGACAAACATGAAGATTGAAAATGTGTATGAAGATTGAAGTTGTTTTTTTTCAAAGACTCATTAAAAAAATATTCCATGGTACTCTACAAACGACTGCGATGCACTCCGGCCAAAATGCTTGGGACACTTCCTGAGCGTGCCCCGGTCAATGCTATATTCTCTCCAGCTGATGGAGCACACACCGCGCAATGAGAGACAACCTTGAACGGGGGCTGGGGGTTGGGGGCCCAGCAAGATTTGGCCAGGATTGTAGATTCTGCCTTTTAATATTAAAAATTGTAACCTCAGGAAACACTGTTCAATGTGTAGAAACACTTTTGAGTATGTTTGAACTGTGTACATGTAATGCTATAAAAGATGCAATCTTTTGTTTGAATTGAGAATTCCATGTATATGTTAAATTTACATGACGTACTAACACAATATCCGTATACTCTGCAGTGGATCTCGCCTAACATAAACCTTTAATTAGGTTTTTACAAACAAAATTTAAATCAATACTTAAATTATTCGCTCGATTGACGTAGTGTATACACTGTGCACGTCGAATGCTAACTTCTGTACCAATTCACGGGAAGGACTGGAGATACACAATGAAATACAAGCACCGGGCAACATTTGCAGCAGTATCAATGATAAACATTTCCAACATAATTATTATTTTTTTTGCTCATCAAAATATTGACCAAGGCGTTGCTATTGAAGTAAAATCTATAATATGATAATGCTGCTGTTTCTTTCTTTTTTTTGCACTTCCGCCTTACTGAGTCATCCAGATGATATTGACTGCACAACTTTTTTTTTCTAAATTAACGTAATTAGATATGACTAACACCTGTAAAGATGTCACCCATTTTCATTTCATGTCACTCTCATTGCAAAACTGATCCATGTGAAATTATTCAATACATGTAGTTACCAGACTTGATGATGATTACATTGGGATGAAATCCAGGGATATCACCAGAGATATCTGATTACATTGTCATAAATGCCACCCATTTATTTTTTCAAAATGCATTCTTAAAAAATGCGGATCGGTTTTCATTCGGAATTCGGGTCAAATTTTTACCCAACACTGTTTTTGGGTCAAAATGACTTTTTTTTTATTGCGCCCAACGACACCCTTGCGGTCAAATTGCTCAGAAAAAGAGACTTAATACACCCTTAATACGGGAGCTAAGAAGTAAATAACCTCTAATGAATCAGGCGTTACAATCCTGCTGTCTGAAAAGTTACCGCCAGTTCAAAAAGTACATCCCCTTCCCTGCCATGCCTTCTTCACCAACAGTCGGATCATATTGCAAGCAAGCACTGTGACTAATCAAATTCAGTCAACAGACAAAAATCAGATAATGGTAGGCACAGCTGGCTTATCAATCACCTACAGTTAAAGTATAGCTGTATCAAGTTACATAAACAGTCACAGCCAGTCAGCATGTGTGCTGTGAGCTCAACTGTCAATAACAGTCACTTGACTGATTTTGTCTGAAAGTACAACTTTGCACAGAACGTATGTTTACATAGGAGGGTTAACAATAGAAAACTGCCAGGATTGGGTCTAAAACTGCGCTACTCACATAACATTATAATTATTCATTGTTTATTCTTACAAGTTTGTTAGCGTGAACATTTTTCCCTATAGGCCGTATTCACACAATCTAGGACTCAGTATTTGTAACTGGGTTTTTTTGGGTTATCTTTGTAGTAGTTTTGCACAGAAGTACGCCAACCACTACTGTGAGAACGACACGGATTTTCTCTTTGACCTGCACGACATCATGGATCGGAAATGGAGGAAAAATGTAACCAACTTGGAGGAATTTAGGTAAGCCTTATTTACCCCCTCCGCCCGGAAACCGCTGTCCATGCTATAACCTGATAGGGGCATTGTTTTACTTCGACAACATTATTGGAAGCTGAGACATGGATTCGATTGTCAAGTTACAAAGTCATAGCCTAATACATTGACAATCAAGTATATCTAATGCTGAGGTTTTGCAAAGTAAAACATCCAAGTGCAATTACCTGCACTTGTCAACGTCTTGTAGACGTAGCAAGGCTCACTAAACATATATTGATTAAGAAGTAGTCAACACAAATTTGCCATAGTGATTAAAAAATATATGGTTTCTTCCGCTATTAGTCTCTTGGTCTGCACTGAGGTTTGCAAGCGGAAGGGGTGGGGAATTTTTCCCCTCTGGCGATATGTCTCTTCTTTCTTTTCAACGGTAGCCCCAGAACATCCAAACTATATAAAAGGCGCTACTAGTAGTGATAACCCCTTTTCAACCACGTCCACGAAGGAAACAATGGGGCCACATTTTGATGAAAAATGACACGCCCCCCCCCCGCCCCCCACGGATATGAAACCCGGATACGCTATTATTACAATGTACTTTGAGTTTCATGACCTCTGGATAGCAAACACCTCTAGAAGTACTGACATTTGTTAATGGCACAGGGCTGGTTAACCAACAGACGGTCGCATAATTGGGCACTTCAGTCATGCTTCAGTGGCGTAGTCAGGGGGAGGAAGGGAGGGGGGGGGGCGGCGGTATTTTAACCCCCAATATTTTGTGAAGAGTGCCTTTTTTCACGGGCGCCCTCTATTGGAATGTCGCGCGAACGTCTGCAATTATGCCGCCATGAAAAGCGCCACCTATTATCCGAGAGTGCCCGTGCATGGACATGCGGTTTGAACATTGCCTCGTACATGTCCAGCCTCCTCCCCCCCCCCCCCCCCCCCCGCTTTTTAAGCTCTGGCAGGAGCTTCTTGGTGGTCGGTCGGTCGGTCGGTCCCCGCGGAAAATTGACCAAAATAAGCCCCTAAGTTTCCCATAAAATATAGCTACCAAATTTTCAAAAACAAATTTCAACAAAATAATTTACAAACGTAACAAAAACTGTTTGTAACAATTCGGAAAGATGTTTATGTGAACATTTTGTGAATGGAGGCAAAATATGTGCGGTAATGTTATAGTCTCGTGGCATTTATCACAAATCGCAATAAATCTAGGTATATATCTAAAATAGGGTGTTCCATATTTGCCAGCATCACAAATCGCAATAAATCTAGGTGTATATCTACTATAGGGTGTTCCATATTTGCCAGCTGCGTCGTATTTTTGGGGTCGCATTTTTAAACTCTGGCAGGGATCATTTTGATAGATTTCATGCAAGACATTCATGCAAGATGGCCAGATTTATTGTGCGCTCATACTTCTTTATTTTACGGAGGCCGGGTGACCGGTGTAAAAAAAAACCTGTGTATAGTATACCTTTCACTTTCAGCACGGATGGTGAGTGCCCTTTTTCACACATTCCCCCAATAAAAATTACCTTGCTACGCCAATGTGCACAGTCATTTTTTTTTCAGTTGAAGAAATAACAGTTACATGTATATATTTATGTTGTTGTTGTTTTTTTTAACCAGAAATGATCTACGGGCTGCTTTGGGAGACAAAGCCAGCTTGAATAACTTTATTCTCACAAGACAAAACACTAAGGCCGGAGCCAGGATCAACTTTGTATATAATGGCGGTTCTGTGAAGGTATCCAGCGTCTTCTGGAAGTCGCTAGCCAGTGTAAGTAGACACACTGGAAATCCTCGTCGACTCGCCAGAAATGAGGTTTTGACTTAAAAAGGGGAAAAAAGAAATGAATTCGAACGTAATGAAATTCGGACTTTTTTATTTCCCTTTAAAAAAAAATTCTCCAAAGCCGCAAATTAGAAAAGGAAAATAAACAAATTAGAAAAATGTGGTTTCGAACTCGCACCCTCCGATCTCAAAACCATGGCATAACCAGCTGAGCCATCGGAGAGCTCGACAGCCAACCGTAATTTATGGCATTTATTATGGCATCACTACGATGTTGTTTGGGGAAAAAAATCGCGTACCGGCTACGGTTAGATTTTACCCTCTACGGTTACATTTTACCCGCTACGGTTAGAGTTCACCCGTACGGTTAGATTTTACCCCGCTTTACTGTGGATAGCCCTTGACCCGTGCAGAAGCCGTTTTTGGATTCTAGCTAGTGGATCGAAAGGGGTTGCCTAAATTTCCGCGTTGCACTCGCTGGTCCAGCACGTAGTTGTTGACGGTTTGAAAGGCTCTAGAGAAGGCGACTGAACTTTTTATAAAAGTTAATGAATGATGTCGTTTACAGACTGTTGTTGTGAGGTCGTGGTGTTGGCATGGAAACAGCAGTCTTTCACCAGAATACAAAGTAATACAAGTTTGGGAACACGTAACAGACATCGTGATAATGGAAGTGTTTAACTTGCAATTCTGTCGTCAGGGTTTTCACGAAGGGACGAATTTAGCCACAGGCTGTTGAACAGTGGTTTAAAGAAAAATTCGGGTTTTAACCCTAAAAGGGCCGGGTTATTTTGGCCATCTCTCAGCCGGGGGGGGGGGGGGGGGGGCGGATTCCCCCAAGATCTCGGCCATGATCTTGAATTTTGAAACTCGGTACATGCATAGAGCAACTCATCATGAACATACCCTGCGCGGCAACCCGTGGTCCGATTTTTATGTTTTTGGTATCAAAAGATGCGCAAGGCTCGAGGCTAAAAAGTCATAACAGCTCGGTTCGCGAAAAAAAAAAAAATCAAGGCTATCACGGAAAAATTGGGGGGGGGGATTCCGCCCCTGGCCCTTTTAGGGTTAACTTGGTCACTTTATGAAATAAAGATTTCGCCAATTTGTTGACTAATTTTTGATACAAATAGTAAGCTGAGATGATAAAGTTCAAAGATGTACCAATTACAGTATAATTGAACAATTAATTACGGACTAATTAATCTTCATAGAGATTTGCCTGTTCGTGAAAACTCAGAATCCCACAAGCGCATTGTTTTGAAGGGGAAATTTGTCCATACCAATTGCGCACTACATGTATATAGATTTGTCTCTTTGTGAAAACTGAAAATCCCACACGCGCGTCTCTTCGTGAAATTTCAAACGCCTTTTTTCAAAACGCGTTGTTTTTGCCCATTAGAACAACGTGATAAAGTGTGAATGGCGAGAAAACTGAAAAAAAAAAAACTCAGTTGAATTTTCCATACATTGATTGTCATGATTTTATTGATTTAAACTGATTTTGACCAAACAACAAAACTTCGTCAAAACGTTCGTTGCTGTTCACTTAACTGATTTCGGTCGGAATTTAAAAAAAATACGGATTTTTTGCCGAATTTGTCCTTTCAGATGCTTATACAGATATCCGTTTTCGTGACCAAACCATTGATGCCATCTAAGGGAAAAGCATCAATCGACGATGACTTATATTATTAATTCAGAAGGTGTAAGATAGCTGCTCTGTCCAGAATTTTTTTCCTCAGATACCCGAATTAATTCATAATAATAATGAACTATTCAAGATAAACATACATTTTATATTTTCGATTTTGCATAATTGTTTTCTCCTTTTTTCTTTCTTTTTTTTTTTTTTTTGCTTCAGGAAAAATTGTATAGATCGGGATTATACAACAGGTGCAGCGTAGTCGGTTCCAGCGGCATTCTAAATGGTTCTGGGTGCGGGCATAATATAGACACAGCTGACTTTGTTTTCAGGTAAGTCAATATATAGAATAATCGATATTGATGCCACTGACGTTGGTTAAACTCAAGACCCCTTGTCGATTGTAGGGAAATGCACTCACATCGACATTTCGAAGTGTGAGTAGGCCTAATGATTCACCTGTGTGTTTTTTTTATATCAACACCAAATGACGATATATACGTAAACACCAATTTTTTTGTTGTCCTATTTATATACCAAGAAAGAGTGTAATTCAACACATTATAGCCAGGTTTTTTTTGGCAGTGTATGCATTGAAAATGCTCGCTACAGTAGGGCAAACAGAAATGACGAAAAAGGAAATGATTTTATAAAACGGAAGTTAAATAGAAAAGGCTATAAAGGATATGAAGACAAAGCAAATAGTTATCAAAATGAAAGTTACACAATGCTATCGATCAACACAAACGTACGTGGAGGCGAGCTCTTGCATACACAACGTTGACGGCACAAGCTGGGTAAACTCCCGGGTAAATAACAGACCGTCAAGGGTTCAACATGCTGCTACAAAGCTAGTTTGGTGGTCGGTCGGTCGCTCCCCGGAAAATTTGCTTGTAAATTACATGTTCTTGTAACCACCTGTATTTCGAAGTAAAAATAACCACTGGGGATAGAGCATTTTTATATCTAGCAACACTCTTGTGGAATCATTTACCAATCACCATTCGTTTAGTCTCTTCATTTATTTCGAATTTGGTTCAAAGGATCTAAGGATCAATGCAGTTAGACGATTCTGTTTCTGCTCTGCTCAGTGTATGTTTATGTACATGTTACAGTTTGTGAACATGACAGATTCTTTTAATTCTTTATTGTGTAATATTGGTATACTTGTGAATTTACATGTGGTACTTGATTGCTGTTTGTATTTCACTGGTTTGTTTTAATGTTTTAACTAATTGACTTTTTAATGTAATTGTGCTGTGCTTGTGAACATGTCTTAAATCATTCGGGGTTTCACAGTGATGTGCGCCACCAAGAGTTTGCCACGGAGTGTCCATTTTTCAAGTTACTGTCAACAAAACACGGCCCATAATTTTGAACGAGCAGGCCTATCAGTAGACAACTACAGCTAATTTGTTGAGGATTAGGGCAGCGTTCTCCCACCCTAAACAAAATTATTGATAAAAGAAAAAAAGGCTTATAAAACCATTGACCGGACAAACTAACAATTTCAAATAGCCCGCGCTGTGAATTTGTCGACCAGCTCCCACAATGCACTGGGAAAAGTGAACTCTCCTTGGCAAACTCTTGGTGGCGCACTGCATAAATTGTGAAAGGCCAGGATTAAACAGGTGCAAAATATTAAAAAAAAACCATATTTTTTTTTTCAGATTTATTTTTCCTGCAGATTTTCACAATCCACGGCCATATAACATTTGGTCGTACGTACTACTGTTCCCCTTTTTTCTGACTAGACATATATTAATTCTCCAGTTTGAAAAATTCCACTCGCTTTTGAAAAATACTACACGTTTATTTTTCTTATAATTCGCTTTATAGATTCAACTTAGCTGACGTCAACGACTACGCAGTAGATGTGGGATCTAAAATAAACTTCACAACCCTTAATCCTTCCATACTATATGCAAAGTAAGTATTTATTTTTGATCTTTAATCCAAATCCAAATCCAAATGATCCACATCCACATCCAAACCCAAATCCAAATCGAAATCCACATCCACATCCAAATCCTAATCCACATCCACATCCAAACCCAAATCTAAATCCAAATCCACATCCACATCCAAACCCAAATCCAAATCCAATTTTCGACATAATGTTTTGCATCAGGACAAACATCAATTAATGTATGAACATTAATTAAGATAAACGTGGATGGGGGTCCCCAAAAAGCGAAGAAAACTAGCAATTGAAAAGGATAAAAGTAAATAAAATAGTCAAACAAATAGGAATACATGAGAAAAATATTGTGTATATAATGGGTATAAAATGAGATCATAACATAATGACATGAACGGGTACTCACATAAGCAATATAAATGTGTACATGGATAAGACCATAGAAGTAAGTGCCCCGTTGCGACCCCGTTGCGGGCAGATGCATTATTTCGACGAGATTTTTGAGAAACAACCATTTATTTCAAAAGTTGCAATGTAATGGGCATTTGCGAATCTCTTGCCGCGGAAGAGTGGCACGATGTTTAATAAAAAAAAAATCTTCCTGACGTACCCATCCCTTGCCCGAAAGATAAACTCGTTAAAAAACGAAGTTGAATAAAAACAAACCCCGACTTTGTTGTCCGTGTACCCAGCATTTGATGAACATCAAATTTAACTCGAAAGTGACCGCGAACGCGATTTCGCAAAATGTTAAACACAACCCTTCAACTCTGTCAAATTCCGCTGCGAATGTTCCGTGACGTTTAATTCACTCCACCTTCCCCATTCACGTGAAATAGTAATTGGTTCTTATTAGGCCAAATAAAAAAAAAACATGTTTAGCGTCCCCTCCCGCTTTCTTTTTGGCGGACGCCTCTTTTTTTTAACCGAAAAAATGATAAATTATACTGGAGGGCCCTATACATGCAATAGAATAATGTTTAAAACTACCGCTTCGATGGAGTCACTGCTGTAGTGTCATGGGTATACATTGGATTACTAATCCGATGCTGTGAGTTCGATTCTCACGGATGCTTTTTATAATTTCTTCTTCTTTACTCCTTTTTTTCTCTTAAAAAGGTTGTTAGTCATTTTGAATATTTTTCTTTTACCAATATGTGGTTTGGAGGATTTTTTTTTCAAGGGAAAATAAAGTCCGAGAACCTGACTTGCAACTCAACGTACTTCGAAATACGCCCATAACGAATGTATGATGTACGGAAGAACATATCGCAGCCCGGTCGGGCGGCCATTTCGGAGGGAAAAAAGGGCCTCCCGCTTCCTTTTTTTTCGAAAAGGCAGGACTTTAAACATGTTTTTTTCTTTAATTTCTCCTTAGCTTTTCCAAACACAGGACAAAACATGAAAATAAAAACCACTTGTCGCACATTGTATTTGAACCGTACAGGTTGAATGCACTGAAGAAGAAAGCGGATCGCGAAACGTTTGCAGACATGTTGAAGCAGTTCCGGGGCAGTCACCTGTGGCTACCAGCGTTCGCGTTCAGGTGGAAGTACCAAGTGCTAGTCAAGGCTGCCGATGTTGCCCGGTCTTCCAAATACGTCCAGCCCATCTACGGTCATCCTCAACATTACGACACCGTGGCCAAGCTTTGGAAGGACACGTTGAATGGCACGGAAAGGACGACCACGGGTGAGAAAACTAGAAATGTTGTAATTTCTCGGTGTTAACCTTCGGATGGTCTTCGGGACATGATTGGTACAAAATATGCGTGAGAGGGACATGATGAAAACGAAATTGCGTATTAGGCTAAGTCATACTGAAAACATAGTATAAGGCATAAGTATGATGCGTATTTTGTTATGATGTCCCTATTAAGTCATAATTATGAGATATCAGTCATGACTTGGAATATACGTAGTTTTGTATTTCTTGAAGATTTTTAATTGGAGATTTTAAACAAAGAACCGTGTCAAAGGTCATGTGCGCTCCGTATATCTTTGATACATATAATAATAAGAGCAATAATTTATGAAGGGCCTCAAAGGCCAGGGCTATGAATTGGTTGTTACTCTCGGGATGAAGAGGATTTTTTTTTCTTCAATTAACTGCACTATGACTATGGAAAATATGACCTTGGGCATTAACATTATCCTACAGTCATGGCTGTATAAAGTATGGCCCCACTTGTGTGTGGCATAAGCTGCAAAACCTCATGAATTTTGACACAAGAATCAAATCGCCGAAATTCGCGGGAAACGGATGCCCCCCCCCAAGGATTTCAATAGATTGTTGAGTATCCAAATTCTAGTTATGGGGGGGGGGGAATGATTGTATTCTCATTTCTTTGTTGTTTCTCGCTATCTGGACAGGCTTCCACGTAATCTCCTCCATCTTTGACCTGTGCGATCAGATTGACGTCTACGGTTTCTGGCCTTTCAAAACGTCGCTGGAGGGCGCTGCTGTCCCGTACCACTACCACGATAAAATCAACGCCACCAGCGCTCACAGCTTCAGCAAAGAGTTCAAAGCATTGGTGGCGCTACATGATCGCGGTATTATCCAGTTGCATGTAGGTTCCTGTCTTTGAAGAAACCTGCATACAGCCATGTGGTTGCGAAGGGCGATTTCTAAAGGTTGCGTAACACTTTATTTTGAATGAAACTACATGCACACAGACATGCGTTTGCGGGTGAAATCTTTGAAAATTAATTTCTCCCGTTTGGAAGACCGTATCTTCATGCAACTTTCAGGGTTTATTGGCTTCCATTTTAATTTAACATTTGAATCATACTGATTATATTTTATGTGTAACACAACGTTCAAAAGGCCATGTTTTTTGGGGGTGCATAAATTTCACTGCTCTGTTATAACATCTAAGTATGTAATCGGATTAGCTTTGCCCATCAACGGCAGGCGCTTTGCCTTCGCAACCATATGGCAGTATAGACTTTAGTCATTATTAACTATTTTACTATATTAACTTACATTGGTAAGCTATTTTGGTAAGCTATTTATTAAATAGTACAGGGTGAGTAAAAAAACACGAAACACAAATGTCGGGACAATTGTTTGATTGAAGTTCTGCATGTAGCACTTTCGAAATCTAGGACATAAAAGCCCAATTCATAAGCTTTCTTTTAGTACAAGAATCATTCAAATCACTTATGCACTTTTTAAGTTACGGAATTTTTAACACAACGACCGTTTTAAAGTTCTGTCCATGGATCACAACAAATAAGTGTGCGTTCTTTCAGCAAAACGAAAATAATTCGCACACATCCCAAGTGATTTGTTTTCGTTTTGCTGAAAGAACGCTGAAGTTTTTGTGATCCGTGGACAGAACCTAAAAAACTTTAAAAGTACATGAGTGATTTGAATGATTTTTGTACTAAAACAAAGCTTATAAATTGGGCTTTTATATCCTTGATTTTGAAAGTGCTACATGCAGAACTCCACTGAAACAATGGTCCCAACATTTGGGTTTCGTTCTATTTTGCTAATTATATACAGGGTGAGTAGAAAAAACGAAACCCAAATGTTGGGACCATAACGGGAAAGCCAGTTTGAATAGTGCACAATTTGTTTACATGGCAAATTCTGTCGAGCGGGGTTATTCCCTGCCATGGAGATTTGGTTTCAAACTGGAATTTGTAAATAAAGTTGACTACACTGTGCACTCTGGTCTTAAAAAAAAAACCATTTTTAGCTAAAAATTTAAGTAATTTTCTTATGAAATATGTGACGACATACAGATGTCAAATAAGCAACCACGCCTAGGTTTAATTCAGTGCTCGCAGCATTGAAACAATTAATTGCATGATTATAACGAACTTCATCAGATGTCATCGATTGCCATACATTTATTTTCTCCTCGTGCGAACGAAGGTCTATGGCCATTCGATGAACGGACCATTAACTGGATTACAAAAAACTATTGTGTTATATTTACACATGCGACAAGCCACTGTGTAAAATTATACAAAGCAGGCATCGTGAATTGATCCGAAATGAATTGATCTAAAACTGCAAATAATTGTTTGTCCTTTTTTCTTGTTTCCTTTGTGCCTTGTGTCGCGGTCAAGTGGGAATCCGCGGAAAGTTGGAATTCCCACTTTGTCCCGTGGGACAATGTTGGCATTCCAATACTGCCTGGCAAAGTAGGAATGCATCCAAAACTTACAGATTGACAATTGTACGAAGTTTTCAAACTTCTTTGATGCCTGTCATTCGAACATTTACACAGAAGGATACTGTGCCGATGCCAAACAGAACTGCTTATTGTAAATATTCCTATAGCACTGCTACTGAACCTGGGCCAAGTGGGAATATTACAAATGTTTCATTAACATACGTCTTTAATACGTTTAGCAGATTGATCGAAATTGCCACGTTGCTCAGTTTAGTAGTAGCGCAATTCGGGCGATCCACGATGCAGAGCGCCACCAATAGTTTGCCACGGAGAGTTCATTTTTCCCAGTGCATTGTGGGAGATGGTCGACAAATTTGCAGCGCGGGACATTTGAAATTGTTCGTTTTTTCCTGTCAGTAGTTTCGTAAGCGTATGATTCGAGCATATGTTTGACCTTTTCTTTTCTTTGTATCAATATGGTGATTTTTGGTAAGCGGCAGAACGCTATGTCCCAATCTATAACAAATTAGCCCAAGTGTCTACTGACACTCATTCAAATGGGCCATGTTTTGTCGACCGTAAACTTGAAAAGTTGACCCTCCATGGCAAATTCTTGGTGGCGCACTGCATTGTGAATCGCCCGAATTACCATAACCTTTCTTTTTACATGTTTTAACATACATTTCTTTGATGTAAGTTTATCTGTAACATAGTGTATATCATTATTTATTAACAATTCATAATAATAATCATTCATTCTTACGTTATTATTATTTTCCTAGGTGTATACATTCCCATACTTGCCCACAAACAAAAACCCTCCCATAACTCCAATTCTAAGAAGTTTCCCCCAATCAAAACCTTTGAATTATTGTATGCTATTCTCGGTCTAAGGACTCGTATTAAATAAGCAACTTCCGACATTGAATTCCCTCCAGAAATGGTAGTTAATACATTATGGAGCCATTCAAATTTCTCCCCAATGTGTCTCCCAAGTTTCTCCCTAATGCCATTTAATTTACTACAAAGTGTCTCCTATAATGTACCATTTGATAGAATATAAAATATTGTTGTTGTTTAGTTTTGTTTTGTTTACTTTTTGGGGGACCAGTAAAAAAATTCAACTTGGGTAAAATGGTTGGTATTTAACTTAATTTACATTTTAAAGCGACTTTAGAATGTTAAAAAAAAAACGTTTGAAACCTTTTTTTCATCTGTGAGAAAGAGCTAGGAGATTATCACCGTTCATGTAATTCTGGTATAAAAGCGGTATATTATGCTCAACCGGCTGATTTGGTGTATGATGATGGCCGGGGTAGGAGAAAATGTTTTTATAAATTACTTCTGGTGGACCTCTAAAGCAATAAAGTAATGTAATTGTAATTAAAGACGACAAGCTTTCGGCTGAAATACTAATGTGTTTGCTGTGCTGTTTCTTGACGGTGACATTTTCATCACACGCTTTAATTGGCCGGAAGAATTGTCCCATTTTGACAACAAGGGAATAAATTATGTGCTTTGCCGGTTCGGCGCTCCAGCCATTATCAGCGCGCATACCCCTGCCCTCTTGCCGAGCATTGACGCGCTTAATTAGCCGGCCTCAGGTCGACCTTGCGACAACACAGATCAGTCGGCGACTGACTTTTCAGGAGCAATTATAGCTACGCCTGGAGCAATGACCGTCGGGAACATTTCAGTCGCCGATTTTGTGCGACCTGGCTGCAACGATATTTAGACGATCGGAATTAGATCAGAACAGTAGCAAGAGTAGAAAAGTTTCAGCTCAGCTTCGCCTCGGGTAATTATCACCCATCCAGTCTCCCACCGGTCTTAAACAGGGTGTTATTAAATCCCCCGAACGTAACCCGTTGACCGGAATCGACAGGCAACAGCCGTCGATGCACTTTAGGAACCATAGTGACCGTTTTAGCCGATTTTCGGCTAACTTTGACAGGAACTTTGACAGGAAATTTGACAGAATGGAATTTTTGCAGATTTCCGGCAGAATTCTGCAAAAATGGTTATTTGACAGAAAATCAAGCTTTGATTTTACAGACAAGGTGGGTACTATTTTTTGCTTTTTTGTGTCATATACACTGTACATTGGTGTCCTCTATAATTTGCCTTGGTGCCCTAGCTCCATGATTTGCCTTGGTGCAATTTCCCCATTCCTTGGTACAAAATTTGAGGAGGTGCGGCAATAGAGGGCGCTGTTGTAGCTACCAGGGACAATTTTAAGAACAAAAAAAAAAGGTTGACGCGCATGATTAAAATCCACGCACGCGATGACCAGAGACTGACTATTTTTTTTTTTTGGCCTAAATCTGACAGATTTTTGAAGTGCATTTAGCAGAATTTAGGCATGACCTTACGGTCACCCTGTTGGCAACGATCAGCCGGGATGACCCTTGACCTGAGTCAGGCATAACACGGGACAGGCCTACAAGTACAACTACAAGTGAGCGTGAAAGCCGTCCGAATTCTGCCCGAAATTACAGATTAACTAGACCTCAGAAGGTACGGAAATCTACAGGTTTTTTTCCAATAAGCAGTGCAGTGTTGGGAAAAGAATTCCATCACTTGACAACTGTGATGAGAGTTATTTAAGACTGGTCAGTGTTCTGAAAATGTCTATTATAATGCTTAGTCATGTTAGTCCGAGTTAGACCCGTGAACGTGGCTTGTAAACGCCACGTTCACGGGTCTAAGTCCGAGTATAAGTTAGACTCTACACAGATCGCTTTTTCAACATTTGGACACGGTCGGGTGATGGTATCATCGCCCGACCATGTCCAAATGTTAAAAAAGCGATATGTGTAGAGGCCTAGTTACTCGGACTAGTAAATGCTTCAACATTTTCCCTGCTAAATTTGATTTAGGCCTATTTGTTATGACATATCACTTTCTGATGGCTCTGAGGTCATTAAAGGGACAAATTAGGGCGATCGTGAAGTGTAGGGCCCGGTTCCTATAAGGGAACAAAATCCACTTTAAAATTATTGGACCTAGGCCTACCAAACGTGCGACATTCTCAATAAACAGATAGGCCTATGTCAGAGATACAGGGCAGGGTTTTGATTTTATGAGGGATATTTGGGGGTAAAATGACGATGACAGTGCGGTGACAACACGCGACCCGAAAATAAAGATACTGGTCACCGCGCAATGTACTGTGAGCACGCACGGCGCGCTGAACATGCTGAATCGCAAGGCACAAACAACGCAGGAAAATCGTGATTTCTACCCCAAGATTGGGCAAGAATCTGTTCAAAATTGCAAAACGGGTGTTACTGTTATAGAAATCAGAAAAGTCGGTTTTTAATTGTAAAGGTGATTTTTGAGCAATAAAAAACATTTTTGATTCTAATTTGATCAAAACAAAACAGGGGCCCTACACTTCACGATCCCCAAAATTAGGGAAATAATTCCATACTCATACATCAGTTATCTGCCACAAAACAATATCAATGGAGGTAGGATTAGGAAACACATTGTGTCGTGGTTTCACCCAAGACAAATCCAGGAAGTTCCAGCAATGTGAAGACATTTCAGGAAAAATGTGTTTTTAAAGCGCACTTTGGATGCGCACATCAGCTCAGCAGCAGACGGACTAGGCGGCCATTTTTTTATGTTAGTTATTATTGCATGCGATGTGCGTGACGTGACATCGACTACGCACTACCCGTACCCAATGACATGGGCGTCAATGGCTTCTCCAAAGTGGGGGGGGGGGGACATACCTTGATCAGAACTGATGCGAGTGCGAAGCGCAAAGCCCTTCCGGCGTGGGGTTCGAGGCCCGCTTAAGGGCCCCTAAAAATGTTGGATTCTAAACACTCTGTGGTGCGATCTGAGGCAATTTCTGACCACTTCAACCAATATTTTCTAAGCAAAAGGTACATTGTAGTACATAAAAGGGCCCTGTAAATGAGACACAAGTTCAAAAATCTGGGGGGACATTTGATATCGTGTCCCCCCACCCTTCAAAAAGTGTGGGAGGGGGGACATGTCCCCCTTATCCCCCCAGGATTGACGCCCATGCCCAATGATAATACGTCATCATGAATGTTTAATGTATCATGAATATTTAGTTAATTTATTAAATATTCATTAGCCTTAATACTTTACATTTGTAAAAACGTCAAGTAGTCTGTTACCATGCTTACTGGCAACGATTGTTCGACTAGTGTAGCGGATAAGGCTGGTGTGATTAAATAACAAGATTCCAGGATCGAATCCCGGTGGAGTAAGTAGCTGGTAAATAAAGAGGATTGGAGGAGTGTAGAGAGTGAGAGTCGAGGAGGGAAAATAGATGAAGCTTTGAAAAGAGTGACATCCGTGTATGGAAATCTTTCCAAAATTAGTGATGCCATGGGAATCTTTCCCTCTGACCAAAATAATCACCTGGGTTATGGCCGCATAATATAAACAACAGCTCAGTCCATTAACAGCGGTCATCCCCCTACCCGGTCATTATCACGCAGTGGAGACCTGTCCTCACACTGTGACATGTATTCCCCAATTACTACACCAACCAATCAATTGTTTTATTTACAGGTGATCCTTCGTGTCCTTGTTGAGGTTCAGGGATGGACTATACATGTAGCTGTCTCGCAATGCAACTGATCCATTGACTGGCTTGAAGATGACTGACACGTGAGTTTCATTTCAACCAATTAGCACTAACCCTGACCCTGCTAAATGCAACAGAATGCGCCAGTGATAAAAAGTTGTTGCAAGTTGTTGCATTTAGCAGAGTCCAGATCTGATGCATTCCACCCCTGCATTCCGTTGCATTTGGCAAGATACTCTATGTTTAATATACTACCTCAATAAGAAAACAAGTCTCATTGCATGTTGACAAAAGCAGAAAATGAAAACTGTGAACACACAGTTTTAAACACCCGAGGGGGGCATACATGTAGTGCTATGCGCCCTGAAAGGGGGGGGGGGTAAAAATGACATATCCCAAATCTCAGCAGTCAACAATTGTTTCGTTATATCATACCAGTAAAAGATAAATGGTTGTAACTTACTCTGTGAGCAATTTCTATAGATGAATACGTCTCCACAAGGTTATCACGAAACAGATATGGACTTTACTCAAAAACTAGGAATTTCCAAGGCATCAATGGAAGAGTTTTAGAAAAGGGATATTAAGTCCGAATTTCAGCCAAGGAAATTAATTCTGGTTGAAATAAGAGCATTTTGAAACCACACTTTCAAACTCGAAAACTTTACTACGAGAAAAAAGAAATATCTCCACAAGGATATAAATTCCAGTATGTGTGCGCAATGACACACTTTTGACCTTTAACTGTTACACTCTGGTTCGTACTAAGTAGGCAACACAAATGCACAAAGTCCAAACTAACACAAAATAACAGCCCTTTGCCTCCAAATATATTGCACATTATGTTTACATGAACATGCAAAGCTAATTATCGGAACAGTTTTGGCGATTGTGAAAAAACTTGGAAACTCTCTGTTTTGTTTGGTACTCAGTAAGGAGTTGGTGCCCCTGGATTTGTCCATGGATTCATCAACGTGTAGCAGGGGATCCCAAGCTTCACTGTAAGTGCATTTATTTTGAATACATCCAACAAAATACATCTTGGACTGATATACATATACATTGTTGTGCATGTGTGTTTGATTTTGTTCAAAAAGTAAGACTGCATGTAAAAATGAGTGGTTATGGTTGTTCTGACACTGAGTCACCAGTTTCGAAGTCCATACCGTTACGTAAACTTAAAGATATAGTCCATCATTTGTAATTTGTGCATTTTGTTCCTTTGAAGCAACAAAAGTGTTCAAAATCTAATGAAGGATACTGAACAACTAACCTGATGAAGTTTCAGCTAAGCTTCAGCTGTATATTCGGAGAAAAAACAGCATTCTAGGATCTCAGTTTCAAATCAAAAGTTACTGAATCATGTTTTGAATTGTTTTGAATTGCAGCTATACGCGACGTCGCGCACTGATCCGACGAATTATAGCAACCGCGTGTGCGTCGTGCCAACAATGCTTGTGCCTGTTTTGCCGAATAACAAAACGAACTACTAAGACGCACCGTTGGAAAGGCCTTCTTTCGTTGATTACTTCAAAATGACAGCTTCCCAGAAAGAATAATTTCACAGGGAGTTTAGTTTCCTTACTATCTTTCAACCAAGCTTGTTTTTCAACAATAATTACGCCAGTTACTTTTCGGATTGCTGCAAATGATGGACTATAGCTTTAACGAGTGTTCCCCAAAAGACATTTTTTTTGGGGGGGGGGTGGTTGGTTTTCTTTGGGGGGGGGGACTGTTCTCCCTTTCTTTTTTCTTTTTTGTCTTGCATGTTTCTTTTTTACTTCAACTCCCAAGCATGAATTAGGCCCAAAAAAATTAATACTTCTGCTTCTGATTACATGGCATTTGAAAATATGGTAGGAAGGTAGGCCTTTTTTTTTTTTTTTGGAATTTTTTTTGTGCACGATCATATGGAGGCGTCTGCATGTAGTCAAGGTAAAAGGTAGTAATTGATTGCTTTGGCTGTTTTTTCCCCTCATTTTTCCAATAAAAAAAATTAGGGTAGGGGCTGTCAGAATAGGGTAAGTAGGGAAACCGGAAGCCAAACTATTTTTTTTTTGGCCTTATACTAACAACAGCTAGGGAGTTACATGTAGGGTTAAAGAGGTTGTGGAATGCTCGAAGACATTTCCGTCATTTTTTGGGTATATGTAGCCTAAGGTGTGATGAAATAAAAACGACTATTGTTTCTGTCATGAAATGAGTACAAAGGGTACTTTTGAGAGCTGTTTTTCAGGTCCTGTTTCGACCCAAACGTGCAATTTGTGTAAAAGTCGTCGTTGCGGGCAGCAAACAAAACACAGTAAATCGTGACGTAATAAACAGGACTCGTTTATGCTACTCTGCATCGGGAGTCCTGTTTGTTACGTCACGATTTACTGTGTTTTGTTTGCTGCCCGCAACGACGACTTTTACACAAATTGCACGTTCGCGTCGAAACAGGCATGACGGGACTTGAAAAACAGCTCACAAAAGTACCTTTTGTACTCATTTTATGACAGAAACAATAGTCGTTTTTATTTCATCACACCTTAGGCTACATATACCCAAAAAATGACGGAAATGTCTTCGAGCATTCCACAACCTCTTTAATGAACATTTGTTGCGTGACTTTTGGTTTGCAGTCGCCATAGACAGACGAGGCACATAGCAGACTGGGCAGCGTGTGGCTTCAGAAGTCAAGCAAGCTGTGAATTCGGCAGCATTCAGTTCTTCAAAGGTGCTCAGAAACACAAGAAAAATAGCAAGGTAAGTGAAGTGCTTGCAATCTTTATTGACTCGTGTATCAGTATTCTGGTTATGTTGACATTTGGCCACTTATTAAGGTATTGATGATGAATTTATTCGGCGACATCCATTTTCTGAGGTGTCAAGGGTAAAAGGTAGAAATTGATGGTTTTGGGTGTTTTGCCCCCTCATTTTTCCGGTAGGGGCTGTAAGAATAGGGTAGGTGGGGAAACCGGAAACAGAACTTTTTTTTTTTGGCCCTAGTTAGTAACGAACGTTGACATTGTCTATTGCTCCTACATATTTTGACCGATTTCAACCAAACTTTGTTAAAAGTATCAGTAGCCCAGCCCCAACACGTCACATGACCAAACTGGGGTCAAAGATCATCATGGGGTCACTGGGATCAAAAACTGATTGGTTTTTCTTTCCTCAGAAATTACATGGCACAATCACGGGACTCATGCATGAACACGAATTTGTTGGCCCGCAGCTTCCGCGATCCGATCGAGCTTGTTCTTATGTTTCTTGAGACTTAATGAGATCTCGGGTCTTCAGGAGATTTTAGAACCTTGGGTATCTTGGGCTGCCTCTCTCTTTTTGATCTTGGATTTTCTTGATATTTTTTTAATCTTCCCCTCTTGGCTCGATTCCTTACAGTTCCTGATCGTTGACACCAGGGAGTCAGCTGACCCTTTGCTGAGAGTTCTCCTCGAGAAATGGCAACTGGACTTGCCCAAGCTGCTGATCCATTTAGTAGGAGCAAAGAGACAGACAGGAGTGGAGTATAGCAAGATGATGGGCAAGACGTTCTCCAAGGAACTGATTGATGCCATTCATCACACTGGTAGGTAGAGTACATGCATACACACATGCAGGCCTATTTGCTGATATGATACTTGTGGGGATGGGGATGGGGGGGGGGGGGGGAGGGGGAGGGAGGGGGGGTCGTGGTGCTTGCTCAGCAACTCTTAAGCAGAGGTTTCCACATCCAGCTTTAGAAATGTAAATTGTAGGGTGCCCGGCAGAAGAGCATATGAGCGTTATGACGCAAATATCATTTTCAAGAAATTTGCATTGAAGGGTTCTCAAACGCGTATTATGAATCTAATGTTCTCCCATGCGTATTATAAATTGTACAATTTTGAAATTTGTCAAACGTAAGTTTTGGAACAACTCGTATTAATTTCTGACAAAAATTTTTCTTTCCGATTATACATCATTTTGTTAAAAACGCGTTTTGTAGCCCAATTGGGTTGATTCCAGGAAGCAGTGTCCCTTTAAACAGAGTGTTTAAAACTGGCAAAGCACTCATTTACAGTCGACTCTCGTTAGTACAAACTCTGTTAATACAAAATTCTGGTTGTAACAAACATAAAGCCTTGGTCCCGACTGTGCATTTATGTGCACAATGAATGGGACTGATGTTCCTCTTAATACAAAATTCTGAGGTAACAAACAATTTGGCTGGGTCCAAACGAGTTTGTTATAGCGAGACTTGACTGTATTCCCTTATTGAAGTATCATTAAGAATGACTTTAAATGGTTGTTGTTGTTGTTGTTGGGTAGGTAGTTTTAATTCACAATCAATCTTGGATGAGGATGATCTTCATTTATAAGGAGGGCATCAGAGTTATACAATCACAGATGTCAGATGTAACAGGGACAAGGAAAAAAAAATATAGAATGGCCCATGTTGCGATAATGATATTCTTTTACAGATGCCTGGCTTCTGACCAACGGTCTCCACCATGGTATCACGGAAAGTGTTGGGAAGGCCCTTGTGGATGCCACTAAAATTGCCAGTACAGATCAGCATCAGTTGGTTGCGATAGGCATGGCTCCTGCGATTGCCATAACACACATTGAGAATCTGCAACAGTCAGTGGTATGTTTGACCAAGAATTTACAACCTGAAGCTCTTGATTCATGCTTCCCTGCTGTATATCCATCGTAATGCACACAGCTACATTGTATTGATCGGTGCCGATGATGCGACCGATGTACGTGTAGGAGCAAGTTCCGGCGAGGACTATAGTTAAGCCGCCAGCTTTTCTGATGGCGAAGGCAATCCTTTGAAATTTTCTTCCCATGTTGCTTGTGAATTGAGTTAATAATAATAATAGTAATAATAATTGGCATTTCAGAACGCTGTTATTAGTAAACTAAATCACAGCGCTTACAGTATTATTATTACCCCTGATTATTGGGCCAATTAAACATTCCAAATACCATCTCAGCTCCCTGGGGAGTATACAGCTGGATGCTGCCTGTTAGGTGCAAGTAAGCTAAATCAATCACATAACCATCTCTGCCCTCACGGGTACCCATTTACTCCTGGGTGGAGAGAAGCAACGAGTGACGAAGTGCCTTGCTCAAGGGCACACGCACCATGACCCCGGCGGGACTCGAACCCACAACCCGCAGCTTTACCCACAGACCACGAATCCAGTGCCCTTAACCACGAGGCCACAGCACTCCACAGTTGTAATTCATATGTGATGTGTTAACAGACTTGTAATGTACACAACCTAAAACACTTGTCCTCATGTCATACATGCACAAAATATGTGACAACTTTGAGGCAAACATACAATTGTGCAATTAGAATTAGCTAGGCAAAACAAGAATGAACAATTTGTGGGCGCGTGTGGTCTAGCGGTGGAGCACAGGATTCGCGATCGAGAGGTTGTGGGTTCGAGCCCCGCCGTGGCCATACGTGCTGTGCCCTTGAGTAAGGCGCTTTACCTCAATTACTCCTCTCAACCCAGGTGTTAAATGGGTACCGGCATTATTCAATGCTGGGAAGGTAACAGACTCACTGTGGAGGAGGTGTGGCGATCCCCCAACAGCAGCATACGAGTCTGGCCCAATCGCTAACGAAAGAGAGATGGGCACTCCGTTCCTGTGAATACAGGTTCGTCCCCCTTTACCTTTTACCTTTTATGTATCAATAGACAGGGGTATAACCTTTCATCTGTGGCTTTGAACACAGGGTGGTCCCGTGGAATATCAGATGGAAATTCTCGACGGTGATTCAGATACCAGTACCTGCCTGCTGGACTCAAGCCATACACACTTCATTATAGAGCAAGACAGGTGTCAGGATGGTGCGGTGTCAGAGCCACTACTCGCTGCTCTCATTGATAAGATCGCACAGAGCAAGATACAGCAGACTAATGGTGAGCTTCTGTGTTTGTTTCCATGTCAGTAAATGTGTCCATGCGACTTTTATGAGCGGTTGAACCTTTGTCGTTTTTTTCAGAGTGGATGATATTGTTCAAAACATGTCAGTGGCCAGGATTTGGCTTTCGGCTCATAAATTTTTTTTCACACATTTTAGAAGTTAATTTTTTTTTTTTTCAAAAAATGTTGCCCACAATTTTTGGCTGCAGAAAAAAATTGGGGTTTTTCTTTTTTTTTTGGGGGGGGGGGGGAGGGAGGACTATTTTGGCACCACTTACACCCCTATTATGCTACTTGAAAATAGGCCACATACATATCACCAAGGTCAAATCGTGGGACTAAAAAAAAATTGACTACATGTACCTCCTGGGGGGGGGGGGGGGCTCAAGCCCCCCTCCCCCTCCCCCCGCAGGTGCGCCAATGAAATGTGTGGAGCTAGCCACTTACAAAAATACCCGATTGATAATACTGTAGATCTTAAGTGACAAGTCATTGATCCCTCTGTCTATAGTGGAAGAGACCTGTAGATAACCTGATAAAATACAGGCCTGCTCAGCCTGTGCTTAACGTTGACACCTTTTCCAAGTCTCGGCGTAAGAAATATCAGTTGGCAAGAGGACATTTGACCTATTATACACATGTACGGAATATCTGGGAGTTCCACATGAGTGAGAAAAACAGGACCCAGTTCACAAAAATTGACAAACCAGATGACAGTATAACCTTCAATTTGTGGACGGAAGGAGCCGCGACAAATGTTGCAACCTGACGCCACTTTTTTTCTCCATATATCATCTCGATGAAGGGCATTCATTGCAAAAATGATGATAAGACATGAATCTGGGACTGAGAAATATTTCCAATTTTGTTAGGAAATACTTTAAAAAAAATCTTGACTCTCCATATACTTTGTACACAATCGCAGAAGTGGCGTCAGGTTGCAACATTTATCCCAAGTCTTTTCATCTCCACTCACTGTTAATGCCAATACTTCATTTGAAACAATGGTTTAAGTCGAAGAATACACTTGCAAGTGTGGATTCTTAACTTACGAATCCACTCGGCGTTTCGCGCCTCGTGAATTCTTAAATTACGAATCCACACTTTCTCGTGTATTCTCCTTAACTTATTCCATTTGTCTTTGTTTGCTTTATCAGCCACCGTGCCTGTGGTGTATGTGCTGTTTGGTGGGGATGAGGACAGCCTTCTTGCCGTCCACAGCGCAGTGGTTATCAGGAACATCCCTGTCATCATTGTAGCTGGCTCAGGGGGCGTGGCGGACCGGCTAGCGGCAGCTGTTCAATCCAACTATAGGTACATGCTCTCAAGACATGAATACACATGTCACCCCTGCACGGAACATATTCAAGAAATAATGGAGGAATTTGTAGGATTGAGGCTATATGCTATTTTTCCATGAGGCCAATTGGAGGAGTTTGCAGGAATGAGGCTACATCAATAATAATAATAATAATAATAATTATTACTCTTTTCGCCCCAATAGGGTGACTTTCCCATAGACTTGTGCACAAACCTAAACTGTCACCTAACCCAAGTTTACCTTATGTTTTTTCCACGAAATTTAGTATTTATACTAATTGGACCATGAGGAATCGATCTAGATGGTTAGCGACGGCAAAATTCCTTGTCCTAAGGGTCGTTTTCATAAAAGGGCGACAGTTATTTTGTCGCCTCAATAAGGTGTATCGCCCTATTGTGGACGGAGTTCGCAAAACCTGTCGCCCTTTTACAGTAATAGTAGTAATTTAAGAACGCCCTTTTTAGTAAACTAAATCACGACGCTTACAGTATTATTATTCCCCCTGCTCATTGGGCCAATTAAACATTCCAAATACCATCTCAGCTCCCTGGGGAGTATACAGCTCGATGCTGCCTGTTAGGCGCAAGCAAGCTAAATCAATCACATAACCATCTCTGCCCTCACAGGTACCCATTTACTCCGGGGTGGAGAGAAGCAATGAGTGGCAAAGTGCCTTGCTCAAGGGCACACGCACTATGACTCCAGGCTGGACTCGAACCCACAACCCGCAGAATTACCCGCAGACCACGAATTCAATGCCCTTAACCACGAGGCCACAGCACTCCACTTCTCTACATCCTAGCAAAAAAAGGCCTAGGGAGTTAGGGTTAATTATCGTGTCATTGTTTGACCAGCCACCAAATGCACAAGCAGTAATTCCATCACAGAAACAAAGCTGACTTCTCTCAATCTTCGCCCCTTCTGTGTCCCTTAAATTCCTCCAAGTGCCCTGATTCTGCACCCCTTTCCAACCCTAGTTCTCCCCTTATCCCCTTATAAACCCACAGTACCTCAGCTGAAGAGGACAATGCATCCAAGATTCAAGAGATCATGCACCCGTCTCGTGCTCATCTTGTGACGGTGTACAGAGAGGATCAGGGAATGGATGCAGCGCTCTTAATGTCACTCATGAACAGTAGGTTTCACTTTGTCTTGACTCAAAGGAAGACCATTTGGGCAATTCCACTGTTACTCACGTTACATTTTCATAACGTGAGTAACCGATTTTGTGCATCTTGTTTCTCATACACAACCCATTTTTCTGGAAGTCATCTTTGGTGCTTACGTACGTCTAGGTCTACTCTATCTACCATGGGGATAACAGTTATTAAAAAGGTAACTACAACCCAAGGAAACTCCAAAGTACATCCCAAAAGTTATCTGCCTAATCATTATGAACAAGTTACTTGGATTAAAGATGGTACTGGTACTAAACACCCCATGAAGTTATTTTACATTATGGGATATGGTACCCGTAACTACATGCATCTTTACAAGTTACTCTATCAGTAACTTCTAAGACAATGAAAAAGAAAGCTATTGAATGCCATTTGTGGGGAATTTTCAATATGAAAACCAGGCTACATGGACAACAAAAACAGATTTCGCATTATGCACTGATGAAACTTTTCAGATTTTAATCTAGATCAGATTTTTTTTTTACTTTACAAATGAAATTTCAGATTTTTAAACAATCCCACAAAAAGGATTATTTAACGATTTTTCCCACAAACTTTTTTTGTTTTCATTATAATTGCCAAAAAAAGTCCATGAAAAGTTGATGAAAACGGCACATAAAAATTTGCACAAGTGTAGTAGTTTTAATCTTTTTCACCAGTCGTGAATGGAGTGATTCTACCGTTGAAACACCTAGACCAAAGCTGATCAGATCCTTTTCAGGCTGGAGAAAAGGTTAAATGCTGACCTATGACATGGACAAAGTAAACTGGGCCCCACGTTGATGCACTGCACTGCGCAAATCTAGGGTTAAAGTTCAAAGGTGAACATGCTACTGATTTTATACTCCCTCAGCCAATCGGGGTGCAAGAGGTCAGAATGAACTTCTGCTTGCGGTGATCTGGAACCGCATTGACCTGGCGAGGAAAGAACTTGCCATGAACAAGAACTGGATAGACCAATTCCAAGTAAGTATTCATTATAATTATTCTTATTATTTGTTTCTGGTAATGAAACCAAGGATTCCTCAAAAGCGCCCTAGGCACTCAGTGTAACACAATACTCCTGACAAAGTTTCTTATAGAGACCCCCTACCATGTTCTTACTCAAAGGGTTTCTTATATAAGAATTCTTTAACATTCTGACTCAAACTTTGGTCTCTTATAAGAATTCCTCAGCAACGATAAGAAATTATCAGAAGAAATTCTGACTTGAAAATATGTTATAAGAATCTTACCATATTCTTACTCACTTGTAAGGATCTTATAAGATTCTTACTCGTTTACAAGAAGCTTATAAGATTCTTATAAGATTCTTATAAGAATCTTATATAGATCTTATAAGATTCTTATAAGAATCTTATAAGATCTTATAAGTTAAAATTGTACGGGTGGTAACTCGGAAAGCTTCTTGTGGGATGTGGACGTAATGTGTAGCTCGCAAGCCTGATGACACCTGAAGAGAGAAAACAGTGAGAAGCAATTACAGTTCTAGAGGTGGGAGGAAAACCCCAGAAGAATATTCTGGGTAAAACCCACGAAATCAGGTAGGGACTGAAAACCAATCCACATGTTGACCAGGACAGACATCGAACCTGGGCCATAGAGGTGGAAGGCGAGGAAAGAACCACTGCGGCAACTTGACTCAATTGAAGCACACCAGCTTTCCTATGGAAAGGATTTTGTAGCTTTCCTGTTCATGAACAATTTCGATTACTGCAACCTTTCCTGCTAGGCTTAATGCTTGTATTCCCAACAATAAAAGACTACATATTGCGATGGGGTGTTGCAAGTGAAGTTCCAAAAACAGTTATCGAGTGGCATAAATGATGCCGTATTTCATTTCAGTTAACCCTCTGGTGCACTGGGCTGTCACTAGCGAACTACCCAAGAGTTGTGATAATCTGTGCAACTTTTTGTGCACTGCCTAACTTACTAGTCTCCTTATCGCCCCAAACCGCCATGCCTGGTACTCCCAGCTCCCCCTAAACAGGGAATAAATACAATATGGTGCAAGTACTAATGGTGTTTCTCTTGAACTTAACAGTCTAATGGGCAATTCCACGGTTACTCACTTTACATTTTGGCTGTGCTTTTGAGTTTCCTTGGGCTGTAATTACCTTACTGAATAGGTTTAATAACTGTTATCCCCATGGTAGATAGAGTAGACCAAGACCTACCTAAGCACCAAAGATGACATCCAGAAAAATGTGTTATGTATGATAATCAAGACGCACGAAATATGTTACTCACATTACAAAAGTGTAACGGAGTAACCAATTTTGTGCGTCTTGTTCACCGTACATAACACGTTTTTCTGGATGTCATCTTTGGTCCTTAGGTAGGTCTAGGTCTACTCTATCTACCATGGGGATAACAGTTATTAAACCTTTTCAGTAAGGTAATTACAGCCCAAGGAAACTCAAAAGCACATCAAAAATGTAACGTGAGTAACCGTGGAATTGCCCTCATGGCCTTTGTTCAAAAATATGCTTGGTTTTTCTGTGTGCTTTCAGGAGATCCAGTTGGCCGAGTCATTGCAGTATGCCCTCATCCATGATCAGCATAAGTTTGTGGAGTTTTTCCTTGACAGGGACTGCATTGATCTTCAGACATTCCTGACGAGGGAGCGCCTCATAGATCTCTACAGTCAGGTTGGTCAGGCATTACTAACCCTAACCATCCCAAATCCTCCAAAATCCTTTTTGGAAATTGGAGGAATTCGCAGGATTGAGGTTACATGGCAAAAGTGTGTTGCTGATTTCAGAGGACACACTATGTCAAGGTCTTGGGCCAGACCTTGTGTTGTTTATGCTCAGCCTAGCATAAATTTAGTCCTTGATTATACTTGAAATCCTCTGCACTGCTCCAGGATGTCACTGCCTCTGCATCAACCTATTGAAAGTCATAGCCGGAAGATTTTGCAGGGTTCAGGCAGTGGTCACCCCTCCACGGACCATATTTACGGTGACGCTCGCGAACTTTACACCAGAAAGCTATGAAGCCCTTCAGACACCGCCAATATTCACGCTGTTAAGTTTTGTTAAGAACTAAAGTTCCTGACAATAGAGGGAATTTACCAGTTTTGCGGATTCTTGTTGTCTTCAGTTTTCATGAGACCGTCGTTTACCTGAGTTCCTGAGTACCCATGTTTTACTTCAATGAAGGGTATATCCGGTTACCGTACTGCTCATAAATGCACACCACTATGATGTTCTGGTGAAAATAACGTGCTTAGAAAGAAGTCTGCACTTCACTCGCATCCTCAGCAAGAGGACTGCACCCGATTTCACGAAGCACTGCGACGCGTCGCAACTCAAGTTACGACGTGTAACACGTTGCAACTCGCGACGCGTCGTATCATCCATTTCACGAAAGTTGCGATGTGTTGAATGCGTCATAAGTTCCTTGACAACGGCTTAAAACACGTCGCAAGTTACGATGTGTCTAGTGGTCATCGCAAAATAAGAAGAGTCCCTTTCTTAGCCAGTTTAATGCCATAAACATTACATAAACGAGATTATAATACCGAGGCAATGTGTGTAAAGTTGTACATTTGTGTAAATAGAAAATTCATTAAATAATTATGAATTAGACTGGAATATTGCAGTTGAAATTTCAAAGTAGCTATACAGTCCACTAAGAGCTTGTTTTCCTTCACAATTGCATCGCACGACCACCATTTTGTTTTACGTTTTAACAAATTTTGAGCAAAGATCCAACGACTCTTTGTTGAATATCAGACGACTATTTACTGTACGCTGACCATATACATAAAACAGTCACCGAGTTGTGCTATAAATACACCTTCGACGCGTCGCACTTACGATGTGTTTCGTAAGTTACGAAGAGTTTGATGAAATCGGGTGCTGATCTACCAGATTTTTGAAACAAATGTTTTCAACTGTTTGTCTTGTTTCTATTCCAATAAAATTTTGTACAAAAACTGACATTTGGGGATGCACTCCCTTCTTGAGAGAAATAAGCTTTTTTCAACTTAGCTCATCAGATTAAATTATTGTTAACTATAGACATTGCTTTGCACCATTGAGAATTTAGCTCAGCATGCTTACTCTGCGAAACTATAGTTTTAACAGTTCCGTTATTTGTTTTTTTAATCCTAGGTTGGCGCTCGAACTCTCCTGTGGAAGTTGCTAATTGACGAAAGAAAGGCAAACCCGATCAGCAGCAAACCCGATCTTAAAGATGTGGGCAACATCCTGAAGAGTCTGATTGGGCTCAACAGCTTCAATCCGGAGTATTTGAGGAATGACGTTGAAGGTACGTTGGTCTTTTATTTAACTGAAAAAAGGACATCACTGGAGTTTGATTGAATTGAAGTAAAATTTGAACAAGATTGTTTTAACTTTACAATCCAGAGTATTTGAGGAATGACGTTGAAGGTACGTTTGCCTTTCATTTGACTGGAAAAAAGGACATCACTGGGGTTTGATTGAATAGAAGTAAAATTTGAACTAGTTGAGTTTAAATACATGCAAGCGATGAAGAGTTTCAGCTAAACTTCTCTTTTGTTCGTGTTGATCAAAACAGACCGATGCCATTGTGGAGAAGTTAGTGCATACATCACTTGCAGTGATCATACCGGAGAACTGTTTGTGAGGAAAAGGTAGAGGTATTTCTGGACAGTGCTATCTGACTGTTGATGAAAGACCTCTGGTTCTTTTCAGAACCATTCCACATTTTAGAAAATAGTTACTTCATTTGGTGTATCCACAGATGTCTACAAGTTGCACAGTGCATTATGCAAAATAATAGCGCAGTCATCACACGTCCATCATCAAGAGTTAATCACAATTAAGTCCAGTCACAAGTCCAGTCACAAGTCCAGTCACAAGTCCAGTCACAAGTCCAGTCACAAGTCCAGTCACAAGTCCAGACCTAGTCACAAGTAACAAGGGATGAACATTGACAAGGGACTGCCTTTAGCCCGGTTCATACTCTGCGCGAAAGCGAACGCGAATTTGTGACGTCGTGGCAAGTATCCGCGCTGCGAATTCGTAAAAGTTAAACAGATTTCAACTCAGCGAATTTCGCAGCGAACGTTTCATGACGTCAAATTCGCTTCGCTTTGCATTCGCATGAAGTATGAACCGGGCTTTTGTCAAAGTTCATATTAAGGGAGTCATCAGGTTGGTGAAGCGGTACTTTCCTTGCCTTCCACCGCTGTGACCCGGGTTCGAATCCCGCCTGGGCCAATATGTGGATTTGGGTTTTCAGTCCCTGCCTGATTCCGTGGGTTTTCCCCAGAATATTCTTCTGGGCTTTTCCTCCCACCTCTAAAACTGTAATTACTTCTCACTGTCTTCTCTCCATAGGTTTTTTTTTCAGGCTTGCGAGCTACAGTGCCTAGGGTGCTTTTCAGGAATCCTTGCTTTCATTACCAGAAATAATTAATAATAATAATAATATATATAACTGGAAAATATGCACCATTAGGGAAACATTCCCATAGACTTGTGCACAAATAATAATCTGACTTTCCTGATGACCTTTCACCCCAACTTTCACCCCTTGTCCTACCCCCACCCCCCAAATCTGGGTATTTTTACCATGAGCAATCGATCTAGCCCATTTGCGACGATAAAATGTTGCCTCTAAATAGAAGCTGAGGCATAAGGGAGACATTGAAACGTCTCCCTTATTCCACATGTCAAAGGCAAACCTCCCACACTAGATCAGCGTGGAATGGGAGAAATATTATCGCAAGGTAAAATCTGGACTTTTCCATTTTACGAGGTGAAGCCGAGTGAACTGGAAAAGTCCAGATTTTACCGAGCGATAATATCAGGCATGCAACTTTTCCTCGGATCAGCTGATTTCCTCTTTATTTCCCATGTGTGCCATTGAAAATAGAAAAGCACTGCACAAAGTCTTGGAAAGATTTGAATTCCCTCTTTTTTTGTGGACTCCCCAGTTGCATGCCTGTAAAAGTCCTCTCATTTCACAATTTAAAGCCACTGAATATTTGTTTTATACCTATAATCCTTGTCATTTGATATTTTTGAACTTTTACTTTAATACAAAATTGGTGAAAAATGTATTTCTCTCTTCCAAACCACCCCTTCAAGAACCCAACGCTGTAGTGCTGGCTCTTTGGAACAATACGTGCAACGCTGAACGCGCACATCAGCATGCAATGCACACAAATACCGCGTCATGGAACAAGAATGATCCTAACTGTTCAATAGTATTTCCCATTTCCCATGGGCGGGTAGTACTTTTTGAGCCCCGGCGTGAATTTCAGTAATAACGAACAACACGTGATGTGAATTCCACCAATCGAATGACAAGGATCTGTATGTTGGTTACATAATATAATTTGGGATAGTAATGATAATAACAGCAGCTTGTGACATGAATAGGAGCAGTATGGCTGTGGTTATCATGGACCTGTCATGAACTGTCATAAATGCAAAGTCTCCAAATTTTGCAAACTATTTCAAGTGTTTAGTCTATATATTTCGTATTAAATTGCCCTTGATTCCTTTCTACATTGCGCTCTAGACACCTTCAGCAAACCGTACCATGAGCTGTTGGTCTGGGCTGTTCTGCAGCATCGCAAGAACATGGCCTGGGTGCTTTGGAAGCATGGCGGGACGTCCATAGGGGGCGCTCTCCTGGCCAGCAAGCTACTGAAGAGCATGTCGAGACTCGTCAATGAGCCTGGCATCGCGGACGAAATGCTTCAGCATGGCCGGTAGGGGGTCAATCCATTTAGTTGCTGCATGCACTACCCCAAATCACCCTTGGTGATCCTTTGAGCCTCAGGAAAATAGAATGCACCGTGGATCACCTCGGGAGGCTAGTTTTACTATACCACTTGAAGCAGTCAATATTTGTATAATATCCACCTGTGGATGAGTATTCCATATTTTGTTTGAGGCACGAATGCATTTCATTATTCTGCTCTGGTGTGCAGGCTCAGCAAGGGCCTTTCCAATGCTCTTGCTGCCCCACCCAGGTCTTGGTATGCCTTTAGTTTTGTTGTACCTTCTTAATTGTAACAATGGACTGCACTGATGGTTGACTGCACGTCTCATCAGTGGTGTCTTCCATGCAGTATATTCCCCTCTGCGCTATGATTGCAGAGGTATTCTTTACATCTGTGTGACTGAGGACAACTAAATTGACCTATTGCCGTGTGCGAGTTAGCCACGCCCCTTAGACAACCCTATGGAGTTTTTGTACACTCAGTTTTGTTTGTCTCATATTTTGCGCGTCCCGCGTCCATTTGTATATCATGTAATTGGACGTTATTTCACAAGCTGCGTTGACGCGATTCTAACGCGATTCTACCGCGATAGGTCGATTACATGGCTAGGCGGGTGGCTGTTTTTTTGTTGTATTAGTTTTGCCACAGGGCATAAATATGTAGCGACTTTTGCATTGTATAATTTAACCCACCATCCATCGATTTGTTCTACAAGTTTTGCCGTTGGGTGTGGCCCATTCTATTTCAGTTTCTTACTTATTTCCATGGGTAAATTTATGAATGTGAAGCCAAGACGAAAGTCCCCAGAGGGAACAAACAATTTGATTTCTTGAGACCCAAATTTGTGTTCCCGTGTTAATTATTTTGAGTTTACGTGACTTTTGTATATTCAACTGGGGGGCGTGGCCTCCGTAAGAGGTTCTCCGTTTCAATATTTTCTTGGAAACTGTAATAAATATGTCTCGATATTGCATGTACTTCCAGAGAGTTCCAAGACAGAGCCATCAAGGTGATGAACTGTTGCTACGCAGAGAACCAGCATGCTACGTGGCTCTTACTCACTCAGGTCCTCCCTGATTGGGGTAACGCCACCTGTCTGGAGTTTGCCTTCGCCGCTAAGAACAAGCTGTTCATCAGCCAGGCAGCTGTGCAGAACCTCCTGCAGAAGCTGTGGATGGGGAGGCTGGCTGCGGACACAGGTCTCATGGCGGTAAACATTCTTATAGCTATAGTCCATCATTTGCAGCTATCCGAAAAGTAACTGGCGTAATTATTGTTGAAAAACATACTTGGTTGAAAGATAGTAAGGGGACTAAACTCCCTGTGAAATTATTATTTCTGGCAAGCTGTCATTTTGAAGTAATCAAAGAAAGAAGGCCTTTCTAACGGTGCTTTTTTAGACGCACTGTAGGAAATTTAAATTAGAAGTTCGTTTTGTTATTCAGCGAAGCACGCGCAAGCATTGGCACGACGCACACACACGCGCGGTTGCTATAATTCGTAGCTGCAATCCCCCCCTGGAGGATTTTTTTTGACAAATTTTTTTGTCAGCAAAAATTCAAATAACTGTTTATAGACTTCTTCTGACATCAATCCCACCAACTGAGACCAGCTGAACAACCTTTACAATGCGCCGTGAAAATGTCCATATAATATGTAGTATGCATAATAATGGTCAGTTTTGAAGAGCGCCCCCATTTGGAAGATGGGTTTCCATCTCTCCCCCCCCCCCCCCTTTTGATTTTACGGAGGGCAAGTGTCCTGAGAAAAACATGTTTACATTTCGGCACAGATGTGCGGTTGCCCCCCCCCCCCCCCCATTTTATTACACAACGTGGTTCTTGTTAGAGGGGACGGTGTTTGGCTAGGATTTTCAGGTTCAATGGTTCAACCTACTTTATAGGGGCACTCACAATGTTATTTGGCTATGTTTGACTGAGGGGCTGGTGAAATATGAAATTATTTGTCCAAAACATTTGAGAGTAATTAAAACATTTTTAAAAACTGGACTTGATTTAGAGCACAATGGGTCGGGCACAGTTTTGATCCAACATGGTATCTGGTGAGCTAACATATCGGCTAAAAATGGTGTATGAACGTACATCGGGCCAAATATCGTTTTAATATTCCATAGTTGAATGCTGCATAATTCATGTCAGGTGTGTGTCGTGGATTTCTCCGATTTACCATGGTAAATGTTTTTGTTTGACCAGATGTGGATCTGTACGCTGATTCCCTTTGCCGCTCTGAGCCTTGTGAAGTTCACCCCCAGCGACAAGCTTGCCAAACCCACAGTGAAGGTACAGACAATTTTTTGGGTTTTGTTCTGCCTGATACAAATAACATAAATAGCTTGTTGATCCTAAACCTTTTCAAAAAGCAGATTGTACCACAAAGAAGAAATACTTCTCTTGCCTTTTATAACACATCATAACACACCTCAGAATGCTGTTTACTAAAGAGCACGCATCATAGACCGACATTCTTGTTTTACTTTACTCTCGAGGACAATGCTTTGTGTTTCCCTTTGTCCCTGTAATATAACACTCTCCCATAGACTAAGCACACAAAGTTACTACCACAGAGGACCGTTTCCAACAAAAGACCCAACTCCCGAGGACTGAAAGGATCTGTTGTTCTCCCTTTGTGTGTCGGTCCTCGGGGGTTAAGTAGAACACGTACCAATGTTCCAACGCGGGATCACCTGGTGTTTCTGGGCCGTTGCCAGTGCGAACAACGCGTGTTCCCAATTGGAATAGGCGATGTTTCCTGGTGGAATGCTCCAAGCGTTCCAACTTTTAAGACATTCTCTTAGTTGAGAAATGGCACTGATAACCATTGTAATGTGAAGATTATTATAAGATGGAATTTTGCGTCGGGGTGATATAAATCAAATTAGGTTTTGCCCTTCACCGACGTTTTTTTTAAACACTGTATACTCAGTGTGTTACCTCCCGAGTGAAAGTTGGAAAAACTCACTCGGGTGGGACTCGAACCCACGACCTCCTGCTTTCTAGTGCAGATGTCTTACCACTCGACCACCGAGCTAACGGGATCGGTTGGCCGGTTCGAATCTGATGTACATAGCAGCGGGTATGCATAAACTATTATAAGATGGAATTTTGCGTCGGGGTGATATAAATCAAATTAGGTTTTGCCCTTCACCGACGTTTTATGCACTAGAAAGCAGGAGGTCGTGGGTTCGAGTCCCACCCGAGTGAGTTTTTCCAACTTTCACTCGGGAGGTAACACACTGAATATAATGTGAAGATTGTTTGAATAAACTTTAAGGTAAAGGGTACGCAGCTATATGAGTTTGTGTATGTAGCTTGTGAAACTTCCCACTTTGTTTTGTCTGATCGTACAGGTAGTACCTTCTTCACCCAACAGAGGGGTGTATGCGGTATCAGGAATCCCGAACAATAGGTGGGAGCTGTTTAAGTACAACATTGGAGCAAGTTCGGGCAAGGACCATTAGTCGACTAGTGGTTGATTTGTGACGTACCTTACGCCTGCGCACTGATAGCAAAGTGCGAACATCTCTAGTCAAACGCTGGTCAAAATGTCATCGCAAAACTTCTGGACCCTGGCTCCCTGCTGTACGTTATGAATGCGCGCGGCTATTGGTAACCAGCGATGCAACCAGGCCCAGTTGGCTGGTTCCAAATAGTCAACTAGCGTAATCAACCATCGTCGACTAGACAGAGTTCGGGTTAACTTTAGTCGAGCTATGGTTAACCATTGGTCAACTATAGTTCTTGCATAAACTTGCCCTCAGGTTAAGCAATGACAATAACTTGATTGCTAGAGCCGTAGGAAAAACAGTTCTAGACAACAACAATGAAGCGAGTACTATTTCAAGATGATAGACTTGACAATAGAGCTGTTACTCAGTACCCAGATAACTGTCTTCAATTGTAAATCAGGTTTTGAATCCTGCCTACCACTGGGTTACAGTCAGAACACTCTCAGCCAGTGTTGTACCGGTAGTACTCGTACTCGTGCTGGAGTACATTTTTTGGTACTCATACTCGCACTCATACTCTGGAAAATATACTCATACTCACACTCATGAGTTCACAAGAAGAAAATTACTCAAAGTTGTACTCTTCATTTATCTAACTGTAAAAAAGACATAATTACCAGCGCCTTGAGTGGCTACTTGTTGGTAGATACGTGCACTATGAGCTCCGTGCGCTAACAAAAGAGGGCGCCCTTTTACCTAACAATTACGTCCCATTGGCGGGACATTTAGCTGGTTGACGCGCACCGTTCCTTGTGTGTGATGCACGTACACCATGGGATTTGTACTATGTACACGCAGTGGTACGGCCACGCATAGCGGCAAAATTGCAGTCAGGCAAGATGGCGTCGGTCGGTCACCCACAACTGTACTTCCTTTGCCGGTGAGGGGGTACTTGGAACGGAGCGGATATAAGACTCCGGTATTATTTTTATCTACTTGTTACAAAATACCCATACGCTTACTCGTACTCTTGCAATACTCTTCTGCAAGAATTTAAAAAAATAAAAATTGAAGAGCAACATGCAGGAAAAGACAGTTTTCTACTATTTGGGTTCATGCTCATACTCGCACTCATGGCAAAGTAGTCGTACTCATGGCAAAGTACTCGTACTCATGGCAAAGTACTCGTACTCATGGCAAAGTACTCGTACTCATGGCAAAGTACTCGTACTCATGGCAAAGTACTTGGACTTATGGCAAAGTACTCGTACTCGTACTCGAGCAAAAAAGTACTCGACTACACCACTGCTCTTAGCTGTTTACAATAAAGCCTTGCTGCATGTAGAGCATGCTGACATATCCCCGAGGAAAATCTTTACTTGTTTTGTTCCCCAGCTACCGGTACCTGGATGAAGCTGACGGTCAGTACAAGTCGCTCCAGAGAAGTTTGTTCCCCAAGCTGACCCCAGAGGCACTAAATCAACCCTCCCCAATCTTCTGGTTGACTAAGCTCTTGCTGTTCTTTAAGGCTCCGGTCATTGGCTTCAGTTATCACCTGGTGAGCTTACAGTAGATCTCTTGAAATCTCTGATACTGTACGATATCATGTATGAAAACTAATAAAATCATTTGCTAAAATGTGATTGTAACAAAACGCCATGGTCCAGTGGTTAGGGTGTTTGATTCGTGTGCCGCAGTGTGGGTTCGAACCCTGATGGGGTACATGGTACTTGTGTTCTTGGGCAAGACACTTTTCTACAATTGCTACTCTCCACACAGGTGTGTAAATGGGTACCTGTGGGACCAGATAGCGCTGATCTCAAGCTACTGCAGAACAATGGTCTCAAAGCCAGATGAAAAGGGTTACACTGTGAAGAGCTTTGAGAGCTTTGGTAATAAATAATTTTGGGGGATCATCCTTACTCGCAGCTGAGAAGCTGAATTGCGAAGGACGCGGCTAAGCCGAAGGCATGTAAAGGCGCCTTTGGCAGCCGCCATGCGACCCACGTCTGACCACGGAGCACAGCCAGAGATCAAAAGTGTTTGATTTTTTTGCGGAGGGAGGAAAACTGGAGAGCCCGGAGAAAAACTTTTGTGGCGCAGGAGAGAATCAACGCACAACTCTACTCACATATGGTCCGAGCTGGGAATCGAACCCGGGCCACACTGGTGAGAGGTGAGCGTTGTACGCCGTAGCCACCCGTGCCACCATATTAGCAGCGTTTTATAGTTTTCAGCGTCATGCCAATCTGATTATCTCTCCTGCTATTTAAACAGCCACAGACAGTCAAAATTCACTTCCACTTTCCCCTGCCATACTTTGAACAAAGGCTAGTCACCAGCAGTCAGATCATATGTCAAGCAAGCACTGTGACTAGTCAAACTCAGTCAACAGACAAAGCAGGCAAGTTGTGGTCACAGCTGTTTTATCACTTACCAGGAGTCAAAGCATAGCTGTATCAAGCTACTTAAACAGTCCCAGCCAGTCAATCCTGCTTTGTAGGCTGGGAATTCTAAACTGTTGAAAAAGTCGCTGGTTTGATTTTACTGAAAAGGACTACTTGGCACAGAATGTATGCATAGGAGGGTTTACAGTAACATTAATAATAAAACCCTTTTCTCCCAAATATCACGACAGAAAACATCCTAAACAGGAAAGGGACATAATAAACGTAAGGTTCTTCAACCCATGTTGTTCTTTAAAGATTTCTCTTTTGTTGGAAATCCACCAAAACCAAACATTCTGGTAATGCAATCATTTCAAAAACTAACCCCATCAATCCAGAAACATTAAGCCTTCACCTAAAATCAGGCAGTACCAGAGTGTGAGTTTTGGTGGTTTTTGCAAGTGTTATGCAACTCACGCATGCAGTTGGGTATAAGGCAAGGAATGCAAAACTCGGGGACTTCAGGTTCAAAAGAACACTGAAGCATGTCTAGAAATGCATGTAGCATATTGTTCACCCTTTTTTTCAGGGGACGGGGGAAGGTTGCTTGAATATTTGTGGTGTTTTATTGTGCAAACCTAACCCCAACCTACAACCCTTCTTATATTTTTACTGCCACTTTTTCTTTTTAACTCTGCTTACTTACTCCCACAGTGTTGTTTCGGGTAGTGCGCGCATCTTGAATGAATAGTAACAGAAGTCTAGGATTCTGAATAGTCTGGTTCCCAGACCAAAAGATTCTGACTATTCCTGATGAATCTTAGGTCCGGTAGCCTCCGGTAATACATTGTATTACAATTTATGTCACGTGACTAAAACGGGAGGAATTCCTCCTTTTTCCGAAAATGTCCAACGTTTGCCGAATTCATTTCGTCGACAATGGGATAGTGCCCGAGTATTTCCGAGTATAATATAGGTTTTTATTAACTGTTAATTGCTTATTAAAACCTTTAAAAAACTAGTTGATAATTAATATCCATTGCTTTCATTTAGAAAACTTGAAATTCAACGCCGATTTTGTACTCGGATCGTATACGAGGGCGAACTTTTTGCTGCGTCATGTACTAGTTTGAATTTGACGACCGTTACTGGCATTTTCCAAAACTCGGCGTGGCCTCAATTCGGCTCTGCCTGCGAACAGTGCTATTTGGGTGTCTAATTTTGAAGATTCCAGGTGAAAATTAGTGAATGGTTTCTTACAGAATTATAAAACTGTATATCATAACTGTATGATATATGAAGCAAGTGATTTATTTTAAAAAATTTGATCAGAAGAACATTAAAAGCTTTAAGTGATAAAGCGAAATCGGAAAGGAAGCCGAGCTTTGAAAAAAGGTTGTCAATGTCGTCATGTTTATTTTTAGCCACGGAGGCTGCCTGACCTAAGATTCATCAGGAATAGTCAGAATCTTTTGGTCTGGGAACCAGACTAGGATTCTGAACTTAGCAAGAACAGATACCCAGATGCGGATCCAGAGGGTGGGGGAGGGCGAGGGGGAGGGGTTGATACCCCCCTCCTGTTCGGACACGTACAAAAATATATAACAATTATAGTACTACATGTAATAAGGTCCACCTGTCCACAGCAATCAGACACCCCCCCCCCCCCCCCCACCCTGCGAAAATTCCTGGATCCACCCCTGATGCCTGGTGTACAGTATCAAAATTAAAAAGCATGCAATGCGTTCGGTTGCAAACCCCCATATATGTTCTATTGCTTGTGAATACCCGTCCCCCAGTCTGTGCATTTTGTGCACACAGAAAAGTAACCCATCTGGAGCCTTGCTTTTTTTGTGCATGCTGATGATCGAGTGCCTATTTTGGTGGATACGGCGTGTATAACTCTGTGCATGATAAGTAAAATGGTAGTTATTTGACCTCTTGTGAGCTGCAGGCTTGCGTGCACTGATCTGTATTGGTATGCCAATGCCACACGGCTGATTGTATTCTGAATGCTCACAGACCTGTACCTGATGTTATCATGACACGCAGCCTCGACTCCATGGGTGCGTGCGTGCGTTCCTTCACTAACCCCTGGCCGTGATGTACGCGTAAACGATGCTGAATGGCTATTCAGAGCGTACTGCGCGCGCATTTCGAAGATCGCAAGCTGGGTGCGCCCATAATGTGCTCGTGTGCTTTGCATGTCACGTCACGTACAAAATTCTTTTGTTATTCAAAACTCGCGATACCTGTACGATATGGATTATGGCAGCCTTGTTTTTTGCAAAAAAAAAAGCCGGTATCTTCAGTTGTAAAGGGATGAAAGAGGTACGTACATTTAATACAAATCTTTGCTAAATAACGCAACGTCTAAAACTTATGTTTGAAAGGATTGATTCTTCAAAATCACAACTTTTAACATTTTAAAGATGGCGTCGGCACGTAAAATGGATGAACTACAGCCTAATTATAATGTGCCGTATTTTGACACATTTAAATTACACAATTCCAGGGGGTTGAGATCGCGCAAGGCATGATGGGAAACAACATGGCGCAGCAAGATCTCGTACCCATGGGAACGAGATTGCATGACACGCACTGTTACTTACGATGCATCACTGCGCCGCGATGTGACGCATCCCTGTGATACGTGGCCGCTGCGGCGCGTCCTGCAATTCATTTCACAAAACACGTTGTAAACTACCTTTGAGGCCTTGTTTGGACATGATCGAGCTATTCATACTAATGCATGCATTATTGTGCTGACCCACCTGCAGATATCCCACCTGTTGTTCCTTCTAGTGTTCAGCTACATCCTCCTTAAGGATTTCACCGACCACCAGTCCCTCTTGGAGATTTTTCTCATGATCTGGGTGGTCACTCTCATCTTTGAAGAGCTGCGAGAGGTAATTGACAGCATTTTTTACTGTTCATTTCTGCAAACAAGCTTCTTCTTTTTTTTTTAATAACTGTGGGTCTCTTCCTGTTGCCCGGCATGTGGTGCAGAATTGGCAAGGGCGGATCCAGAACACAATTTTTTGGGGGGCCCCCGAAAATTTTTTGGATTCTAGATGCTCTGTGGTGCGATCTGAGGTAATTTCTGACCACTTTAACCAATGTTTTTTTGAGGAAAAGATGGTGGTGTACTCATTGCCTGCCTTTATTGCGATGTCACATAAAAAATTTTAAAAAATTGGTTTCATTTTGGGGGGGGCCATGGCCCCCTTTGGCCCCCCCCCCCCCCCCCCCCCGGATCCGCCCTTGAGAATTGGCAATACATTTGCACAGCTGTGCTGTTCCAAAATCACATTTCTATTCTCGTCTCTGATCTGAGTCTGGATGCTGATAATTACCATCGCCTTTAGCTCAGGTAATTATCAGCATCCAGACTCCAACTGGTCTTAAATGTAGTGTTTAAAACCAGCCAAGCACACAGTTATTCCCTTAATTACACATGCTTGTTACAGTTGGTGCAAGAGAACCATGATTCACTGAGCAAATGTTTTCAAAGCCTAGCTAGCTATTGGGATATTGCAACCTCGTGGACGTGGTGGCCTTGGATTCTTTGAGGAATAAAAACAATGTAATACAAAGTATTGAATACAGTTTCTAATGTTTTAATCACACAAGCTTGTTACAGGTGGTGAAAGAGGACTATGATTCACTGAGGGAACGTTTTCGAAGCCTATCTAGCTATGGGGATATTGCAACCTCGTGGACGTGGTCGCCATAGATTGATTCAGGAATCAATACAATCATAACAATGTAATACAAAGTAGTACAGTTACTAATGGTTTAATTATATGCTTGTTACAGTTTTTGCAGGAGGACTATGATTCAGTGAGAGAACGTTTGGAAGCCTGGCTATGGGGCTACTGGAACCTCCTGGACCTCGTGGCCCTGGTCATGTTCAGCGTTGGGATGGCCCTAAGGTACACCCATGGCACGCTGGTTGGGGCGCGTATCGTCCTCGCGTTGGACCTCATTGTCTTCTACCTGCGCATCCTGCAGTTCTTCTCGGCCAATAAGTTCCTGGGGCCCAAGCTGATCATGATCGTTAAAATGGTAGGTGTTATTTTAACGACTTTTTTCTTCAGCTGAAATGGCTCACTTCGTGTGCATTAACTGAAATCCATGACTTTTTACATCCCCATTCATTTTTTTTTTTTACAATTTTCTCCACTTTGGCCAGTTTGGTCTCAGTTTGTCAGAATGCCTCATATTTTTTTTTTTTTGGGGGGGGGGGGGAAGGTGTTGATATTTAATTTGCATCATGCATATAATGAAAACATTCGGAAGGACATTTTGTCAGACGTCCTTCAAACATTCAACATGATGGAACAAGTTTTAAAATATATCAAAATGCATTTTTAGACTCTTTAGATACAAATAAGGTGTTTGAGAGAGAATGTTTGAAAAGTATAATATTTTTTTTTGAAAATCTCTTTACATGATGCACGCTTTGATAAACCCCATTCCAATCTCTACTCCGGCTCCGTCGTCGAACACATAAACTGGTTCCCGTACGTAGTATGTGCATCTAATATTAAAAACAAAATGACTCGAGACTTGACTTGACTTGAAAAAAATTGTCTTGGGACTTGACTTGACTTGCAAAAAAATGACTTGGTTACAACTCTGCTAAACGGTCTCGGGTCATTCACTTCACAGATGGTGGACATAGTGACGTTCATCTGTATCCTCTTCGTCTTTCTGGTGGCCTACGGTGTGGCCTTCCAGTCGATCCTCTACCCCAATGAGCAAAGTTCACTGGAAATTGTTAGGGGAGTCCTGTACCAGCCATACTTCCAGCTGTACGGGGAACTTTTCCTGAAAGATATACACGGTAAGACCGTCTATCTCATCAGGTCTTGATGATTCTTTCCAACTTGAAAACGCCAAGCACATTTTGGAGAGTCATGTAGTATCCAGACACCCCTTCTTTGGTTATGTACAAAGTCTTTGAAGAGTCGAGTGCATTTTTAGAGTATATTCTAGCAAAATTAGACATGTTTCTCAGCCCCTGGTTCTTACTGAAATGACGTGAAGTACTGCACAATCAAAAGCATCAGTGCATCTACTTCTGTCAGTAAATTGTTCACTACAGTATAACGTCGCCATAACAAACACATGAGGCTCACAAAAATATATGGTTCTTTGTTATGATATATTTTCAAACAGTGCACTTTCAAACTGTTATTTTACATAAACAGTTTGGAACCAAAGGGTACACGCAGGGCTCGATCTTCACTTTTTTTATCACTAACCAGCCGGGCTACTGAAACAGACTCTTAACTAGCCAGCGGGCATTTTTGCTAGCCCGCATGTTTTTTTTATAGAGTGTCTCATGAACACGATGAACAACAATGTGCATACATGTAAAACGTGTATCCTGAGGCAATCTTGTCAGTGCTTTTAAAGCACACATCTGATAATTTAACCTCGAACAGTTAATCAAATTAGACACAAATTGATACAGGTTTGCTTTCTGAATTAAATTCTTTATTTCTTCCTGTCCTTTCATCTTTAATTTGCCGTAGCCCAATACTTTTAGACTCGCCAGCTGGGCTACTTAAGGAATAGTTGGACTAGTCTGCGGCTGTTTTGACTATGGCTATTGGGCTACCGCTAAAGTCGAACCCTGGTACATGTTTTTGTGTGATATAGCCAAATTGTTGGAATAGAGGTGTTTGTTATTTTGACGTTACACAAGAATTCCCACTCTATATTCCAGGGGATGAGTGTGAGCGCATGACGTCTGACATGATGACCACGCCAGCTTCCACACCGATTGCTTGCCCCCAGAATTCTTGGTTTGGCACCATTGTCCTGGCCTTCTATCTCTTCATCAGTAACATCATGCTGCTCAATCTACTGATCGCTATGTTCAAGTAAGTGCATCATGCCTCACATTTTACCTTAAACTGATTGATCCTAAAACTTGAAAGAGACCTTCAAGAAAGAAATGTGGAGCGCTGTGGTCCAATGGTTACGGTGTTTGGCTCACTTGCCGCTGTACGTGAGTTCGAACCCGGACGGGGAACATGGTGCTTGTGTTCTTGGGCAAGACACTTTACTACAACTGCCTCTCTCCACCCAGGAGTATAAATGGGTACCTGTGAAGGTAGAGACCAGATTGCGCTGATCTTGAACTGCTGCAGAAACTGGTCTCATGGCCTGATGAACAGGGATAAAAATTGTGAAGCGCTTTGAGACCTTTGGTATAAAGCGCTATATAAGCACTATATTATTAAAACTCTTAATGATACTATGATTCCACTAGGGCCACTCCCTGTCGCAGCAAAAAAAAGCTGTGGCCAAGGTGGGCTCAGCTATTGTGGTCAACAGACCAAAACTCATGCTCTAATTGATCAATGCCACTCGCAAGTACCCCCTCGGCGGCAAAAAAAGTACAGTTGGGGGTGACCGACCGACGCCATCTTGCCTGACTGCAATTTTGCCGCGACACGTGGCCGTACCACTGCATGTACATAGTACAAATCCCCTGGTGTACGTGCGTCACACACAAGGAACAGTGTGCGTCAACCAGCTAAATGTCCCAGCAATGGGACGTTGTTGCCAGGTAAAAGGGCGCCCTCTTTCGTTGGCGCACAGAGCCCATACTGTCCTAATAAACAGATCTCTCATGCTCATTCAGTGTTCTGATTGTGCAATCTGAATTTTCTTCCTGTCCAGCTACACCTTTTCCACAGTTCAAGATAACACGGACACTTACTGGAAGTTTCAGCGCTTCCAGCTCGTCAAGGAATACTACATGCGCCCTGTTGTAGCTCCACCGTTTATTATCGTCGCCCACGTGTATCTAGTCCTGAGGTTTTTGTGGCGCCGTTTCTTGTCTCAGAACAAACAGCGGGATGACTCATCTGTAATGAGTGAGTATTAACATGGATGTTAACCCATTATTCCCTGTACTGCCCCAAACTGCCTTGCCTGTTACTTCCTGTAACGCCTCAAACTGCCCTGCTTGTTTCTTCCTGTACCGCCCCAGACTGCCCAGCCGTGACTTCCTTTACATAATTTACTTGCTGTTTGCACAAACATCTCTACTTGAAAGTGGGATTTTTTTCATTTTGTAAATCTGTAGGAAAACATATATACATCAAAGACCAGCAGCTGTACTCAGAACTGTCTTCATGGGAAACAGTGAAGGGAAAGGACTTTCTTGCAGCTGCAGAGAAGCAGCATGACAAGGACGTACTACGTCGCATCAAACAAACCAACAAAAGGTCAGGCAGAATCACTCATGGCTCCTGATCAAGGCCATCAATGTGAATAAAAAAGAAAAACAAATGGCAAAACCATTTCATTAATGAAGTTTTTTTTTGCCTATACAGTTTCAAAATCTACGATATGAAAGCCCATTCAATGAGCTTTCTTTTAGTACAAGAATCATTCAAATCACTCATGTACTTATCACGTTACGGAATTTTGAACACAACCACAGTTTTCAAGTTCTGTCCACGGATCACAAAAAAAGTTAGTGCTCTTTCAGCTAAATAAAAACAATTCACAGGCTCCCCGATGAGAATTGTTTTCATTATTTTGCTAAAAGAACACATACTGCTTTCTGGAATTATACTTTCTGGTGATTGTGGTTTACGCTAGCATAGCAGTAAAAGATCGTTCTCGGCCGTTTATTCACCAGTTTTCAGAGTTCAACATGTACAAAACAAGCCAACATTTCAGGTATGTCATTATGATAATACTTTTGTCGGCCGACAGATTGAATTTAGCAACAAAATACTATGCTTGAAATCTCTCGAGCAGAGTGACCTTCGTTCCTTTATGGAACCAATTATAGGGTTGGTCTTAAGAGGAGTGTTCATTACGTCATGGCAAAGAAAGGCACAACTATAAAATCTTAGTTGAAAAAACCTGGTGCTTAAGAAAAGTCGATAGGAATACTTGCCTACATTTCATAAGTATTTTTTTTCTTTTTATTGAATACAGACTGGATGAAATGAGTGCAAACAGTGGAGCAGAGGACAGAGGTTTGATGCAGAGGTTGGACTCGATGCAGACGCAGGTTGACAGGAGACTGACAGCAATTGAAACTCAGGTACAAACAACTGCCAACAATGTTTTTTTACGATGATTTTTTTCATTCATGCCAGTTGGCAAATGGAATACAAGACTTGATGACAAGTCGTTAGTTGTATTTTGTCCGTGAACTTCAGTCGAACTCCATCGGCGCGGCTGGTATAAGACTAGTACGTAATCGGCTGGGTTGCGACAAATCTAGCGACTTGACGATTACGTTCCGCACAGTTATATGGAGTGTCATGGCCTAGCGGTTAAGAGCACCGGACTCATGCTCTGGTGTTTCAGAGGCAACCGTGGCATGGGTTCGAGCCAGGGCCCAGGACACTTGTGCCCTTAAGCAAGGCACTTAACCATTATTGCTTCGTCCTTCGGATGGGACGTTAAGCCGGAGGTCCCGTGTGTTGTATAAGGCCTAACGCACGTAAAAGAACCCAGTTACACTTATCGCTAAGAGAAGGGGTTTGCCCCGGTGTTTCTGGCCTCCTAGTTATACTTCCTTGTGGAAGTCCTTAGGAGAAGAACCAAGTACCAAGTAACCAAGTTATTCACATATGCAAGCAACGTAATACATATGCAGTGCATTTTTGCGGTGAGATCCAATCGCGTACCGCTATGCAAATGAGGACTCATTCATTCCGTTACATGGGGAGTTCTTCTCAATACGTCAGGGACATGTTTGCAGATCTGGCGACGTTTAATCGACCAATACGCTCAGCTTGGTCAATTCTGTATAGAAATAAAATGTATCATTGTGATTTACGTGATTTATTTGAGTCGTGTATGCCCTATAATGAATTTTGTAATGTTACACAACACAAAGTACAAACCCTCGAAGTAATGAGAACGATCTTCCGTGGCAGCCTAGAATACGCTCTGGAATCTGAACCAATCAGAGTGCTCGCATAGATTTCACTAGCGATTCAAAATACTCCCATATATTGCGTACAAAATCGAAAACGTTTTCTCCAAGTCGGTTATTTTATCATAAATAGTCAGCATCATTTGGTCTGGGAACCAGACTACGGGCATTACAGCCACAGCGATATTTTGCGCGCGTGGAGCCAGTAACCAGTTACCGTACGCAAAACCGACTTGGCACCGAGTCTAATGGAATACATATATCATGTGTATTTAAAAGTACTAATGACCCAGAATTATAGCTAGAACCATCGGGAAATATCGACTGCAAGAAATTTCTGGCATACAGTATTTAGCAGACGTCTTCACTGGGTTAGATGGGACAGCAACCTCGTCCCCAGGGTGTCAAGCAGTACGCACCCACCACTACCTGCTCTCTCACCCTGGTATTGGATCATTTGCATGTGCAAGATTTTTGAACACCTATGCAAATGAGGAGTAGTCTGGTGCCTGCCAGTGCGTTACATTTGCGTTTGTTTTTGTATGCGTTGTCTGGGGTAAAACAGAACAATTCGATTTTATTTCAATTAAACTCTTACGATCTTAATGAGACAACATGCAGTATCATATTTCATATTAATATGAACAAATTCGAAAGAAATGAATATTTTCGAGAAGGCGTGGATGAATGATAGCAAAACACGTACTGCACGTTGTGAATAACAATACCAAGTACATGATATAAATCCATTCCTAGCCAACTGCGGTGGCGAATCAGGATACAGGAAGAAAGTTTCCTCTCCAGGGCTTACTATTGGAAACGAGGTTGGAAATAAAGTAAGCACTGGGGACGAGGTTGGGTGTGATAGAGTCTTCATTATCAATGTCTTTCTTCATATTTGAAAAAAAAAAATTGCTTTCACTTTTTATATTAAATTAAACTGTAGGCCTATACATGCAGGCAGCTATTTCAAAACACCAATCTTGAGAACAGACAAGTGTTAATTACGCATATGCTGCAGATTAATGCATAAAAGATATGTGCTTTTTGCTTTTTCAGATGAATGGGCTAGAACAATTACTCAGAAATGTGTGCGGCATGCACCTGTCAGCAGGCCCTTCGGGCGCCTTGACAGCAGATCAACACCCAGCACAGCAGGGCATATAACACCTGTACTCAACCCAGGGTCTTGAATGTGTAAGCCCTACAATCCTCATGGATGATAGGTCATCCATTGGAATAGGTCAATGCATCTGCTGAAGGCTATAGCTGCATCCAGCATTCTCCATGAGCCACTTTGATCTGCTTGGTCACTAAGGGGTTCACGCCTGTAAATAGTTCAAAAATCCGTCTGCAGAGCTCATAAATGAAAGTTATACCCTCAAAATATTCTATATTAGAGAGTTTTGAGAGCCATAAAATTGGGGAATTGAAGAGATATGGTAATGAACCTCTGGCCCGGACTTGGGGCTTCCAATTCTGAGCATTTCGGATGCTATTGGGCTCGAAAGTGGCGCTATTTTGCCACGTTGTGGAGGGATCGTTTTTTCAAGATGGCTACTTTTTCGCTTTGGGGAAAATAGGTGTCGTCTTCTTTGGGTGAGAATATCTCGAAAAGTCAATGGTCAACCCACCAAAAAAATGAATAGAAAATGAAAGATGACACATTGATCATCAATTTTCTGTGCAGCTTGAAAACCTGTGAGATTTCTGAGTATTTGTAAAAGAATTTTGAAGTATGCGCATTTAGCACTAGCGTCTATGGGATTTTTTTTGCAGGGTTGCACCCTTAGTAAGCACTCTTGAATCTAGATAGTAAGCTGTTTTCATGTGCAGAGTTGTTATTGTGCAATTTAAGACTTACAAAATGAGATATTTTTCTAATGTGCCATAAATGATCTTTATAATTATTTCATATCGTTAATGCAAATGCCGCCTTATCTGCAAGCTTGTAATGTGCCATATTGAAATATTAAGTTCTATATAATTATATGTATGTACTATTCATAAGATGGAATTTGCATCGGGGTGATATAATTAGTTATCCCTCGAGCACAAGTGGAACACGGAATAATGTAGTGCGTCTGTATCCCACGGCCGAGTGGTATGTGGGACACAGACGCACTACATTTTCCGTGTTCCACGAGCGCGAGCGTGATAACGAATTTATCTTCAAGCAAACTTGACGTGCAGTACAGTTGGAACAAGCACGTTTTACACGAACCTTTTAGCGGTTTAGCGAATGCAGCTGGAATGTCGCTCGCATCTTGGAATAGAGCAATACGCAGGGTGCGATATGGACTGTGCGATACAGCCTCATATCACACTTGTTGCCATGGATGGACCAATCAGGATCGAGGATACAAGTTTGCTTGAAGATAAAAAATCAATATTAGGTGTTGCCCGTCACCGACGTGTAAACACTGTATACTCAGTGTGTTACCTCCCGAGTGAAAGATGGAAAAAATCACTCGGGTGGGACTCGAACCCACGACCTCCTGCTTTCTAGTGCAGATATCTTGCCACTCGACCACCGAGCTTGCGGAATTGGTTGGCTGGTTCGAATCTGATGTACATAGCAGCAGTTGTATTTGTATGTAGTTATTATTATAGTTTGACAAAGGAATTGTCTAGAGCAGGACTTGAACCTGTGACCTCAGGATTACCATACTGGCGCTTCAACTGAGCTATATTGTGTGTAAATACAATGCATAAACAAACGTACCATTATGTGGTCTTATCGACAAGGTTGTATCATCATTCCTGAAATCTTCATAAAAATGCTGGATAAAAGTACTATAATCATGTTAGATTAAATTTGGTTTATTGCTATTTATATACAATTGTATACAGCAGAAAGTGTCGTGGTTTTGGTTGGTTGCAACTTTTTTTTTGATCAGTTTTCCTTACATCAGATACATGTACAGTATGTTTATACATGTACTATGGGTGATTAAAAAAAATCAGGAAACCCAAATGGTGCACCCTATTTTTTAAAGAATTTCCGCATGTAGCTTTTTCCAAATCTAGGATATGAAAGCCCAATTAATAAGCTAAAATTCTTTTAGTGAAAGAATCATTGAAATCGATCATGTACTTTTGCAGTTATTGAATTTTGAACAAACATTATTTTAACCTTGTCCACGGATCACATAGGTACGTGATGTTTCAGTGAAAATGAAACCATGTCGTATCCTGAAAATGATATCAGAATAATCCCATAAGTCTCCAGGGTAGCCAAGTAGAAGGCAGTGCAAGACTTAACTTTTCACATGTAAAGCATGTTATTTTAACATTGGAAGCAGCAGGTTTTCAATAAATGTTATGATAAGTGCCAGTTATCATAGTTATGAGAGTGATCCGATGTGTTTTTTGATATGTAGTTGCTGTTTTGCTGAAATATCATTTACTTTTGTGGTGATCCCAAAGTTACACCACACATGAAAACTGTACATTTTCTTAAGTTGTTCAATAATTGGAACGACACCTTTGTTTTCATGTTACGTTATGTTTTATTTCACTGAACAATTAAACCCCTTAGCCCTAGTAAAGGGTTACAATTGGAATTAAACATAAAAAAATGTATGCCCATTGTATTTAATAAAAAAAAAATACACACAGATTTTGAATTGATCCATTGACCAATGTTTTACTTCTGTAGCAGACAAACATTCATGAGCTTAATCAATGTGAAATTTAGAACTCTATGACGTTCAGCACTCTGTCTATAATGCCCCCCCCCCCCCCCCCGCTGCCCCAGGTCCGATGTCGGGGTTTGGTCACGTTTTTCATGCCCCAGGGTGGGGATTTTGGTCGCTCAAATTGCATTGTTAACATTGGCGTGTTACATTAAAGGCAATCACTAGTGCGCCCCACGTATGTATGTCGGGGCATGGTCGGGGATTGTCACTTAAATTTTGCCCGAGGGGTGGGGATTTCGTCACTTCAAAAGTGACAATCCCCACTTTTTAATGAAATTCGGCTAAGAAATGACTTTTCTCCAAACTATGCAGAAATACTTTTAAAGGTGAGAGGATCTTCAATCAGGATTCAAACACCTAATATTTTCAAGATTTTGGCAAAAAACACCAATATTTGGAAAAAAACATATTATTTTTAAGACTGTTTTTACCGTAAACTTTTCTCGAAACATCCTTTTTAAAAGCTGATCTGTCCAGAAATCGAATTTGAATGTGTTCTAGGGTCCTTTAGGCATCTTTTCAGAAAATTTCAATAATTTAATTTTTTGGTTGTAATTAGAAAAAAAAACACAAGAGGTTAATAGCCTTACTTTTTCATGAATTTGGCCAAAAAAATGACTTTTCTCCAAACTATGCAAAACAACTTTTAAAGGTAAGAGGAGCATCAATCAGGATTCAAACACCTAATATTTTTAAGATTTTGGCAAAAATCATCAATATTTGGAGAAAAACAAATTAATATTTTAGACTGTTTTTACCGCAAACTTTTGTCAAAATATCCTTTTTAAAAGTTTATCTGTCCAGAAATCAAATTGGAATGTGTTCTTGGGTCCTTAAGGCATCTTTCCAGCAAATTTCAATCAATTTCATTTTTTGGCCAAAATTGAAAAAACACAAGGGGTTAGCCTTACTTTTTCATGAAATTGCGCCAAAAAATGACTTTTCTCCAAACTACGCAGAAATACTTTTAAAGGTGAGAGGAGCATCCATCAGCATTCAAACACCCAATAATTTAAAGATTTTGGTCGAAATCATCAATTTTTGGAGAAAATCATATTATTTTTTAGACTGTTTTTACCGTAAATTTTTCTCAAAATATCCTTTTTAAAAAAGCTGATCTGTCCAGAAATCGAATCGGAATGTGTTCTAGGGTCCTTTAGGCATCTTTCCAGCAAATGTCAATCAATTTCAATTTTTGGCAAAAATTGAAGAAAAAAAACACAAGGGGGTTAGCCTTACTTTTTCATGAAATTTGGCCAAAAAATGACTTTTCTCCGAATTATGCAGAAATACGTTTAGGTGAGAGAAGCATCAATCAGCATTGAAACACCCAATTTTTTTTTAGAGATTTTGGCAAAAATCATCAATATTTGGAGAAAAACAAATCAATATTTTAGACTGCTTTTACCGCGCAGACTTTTGTAAAAATATCCTTTTTAAAAGCTGATCAGGCCAGAAATCGAAGTGGAATGTGTTCTAGGGTTCTTAAGGCATCTTCTCAGCAAATTTCAATCAATTTCATTTTTTGGCAAAAATTGAAAAAAACACAAGGGGTTAGCCTTACTTTTTTCATGAAATTTGGTCAAAATTGAAAACAATGCAGAAATTCCTTTGAAAAGTCCATCCATCCACAAATCGCATTGGAATGTGTTCTAGTGTCCCGTAAGCATCTTTCCTGCAAGTTTGAAGCAATTTCATTTTTTGGCCAAAATTGAAAAAAAAATGCAAGGGGTTAGCCTTACTTTTTTGATGAAATTTGGTCAAAAATTGACTTTTCTCCAAACAATCCAGAAATTCCTTTGAAAAGTCCATCCATCCACAAATCACATTGGAATGTGTTCTAGTGTCCAGTAGGCATCTTTCTTGCAAGTTTGAAGCAATTTCATTTTTTTGACAAAATTGAAAAAAAATGCAAGGGGTTAGCCTTACTTTTTTGATGAAATTTCGTCAAAAATTGACTTGTTCAAAACCGTTGCAGGAATTCCCTTGAAAAGTCCATCCGTCCACAAATCGCATTGGAATGTGTTCTAGTGTACCTTTGGCATCTTTCCTGCATGTTTGAAGCAATTTCATTTTTGGCCAAAATTGAAAAAAAATGCAAGCCTTACTTTTTTGATGAAATTTCGTCAAAAATTGACTTGTTCAAAACCGTTGCAGGAATTCCTTTGAAAAGTCCATCCGTCCACAAATCGCATTGGAATGTGTTCTAGTGTACCTTTGGCATCTTTCCCGCAAGTTTGAAGCAATTTCATTTTTTGGCAAAAATTGAAAAAAATGCAAGGGTTTAGCCTTACTTTTTTCATGAAATTTGGTCAAAAATTGACTTTTTCAAAACAATGCAAGAATTCCTTTGAAAAGTCCATCCGTCCACAAATCACATTGGAATGTGTTCTAGTGTTCCTTAAGTGTCTTTCCTGCAAGTTTGAAGCAATTTCATTTTTTGGCCAAAATTGAAAAAAAATGCAAGGGGTTAGCCTTACTTTTGAATGAAATTTGGTCAAAAATTGACTTGTTCAAAACAATGCAGGAATTCTTTTGAAAAGTCCATCCGTCCACAAATCACATTGGAATGTGTTCTAATGTCCCTTAGATATCTTTCCTGCAAGTTGGAAGCAATTTAATTTTTTGGCCAAAGTCGGAAAAAATGCAAGGGGTAAGCCTTACTTTTTTGATGAAATTTGGTCAAAAATTGACTTTTCTCCAAACAATGCAGCAATTCCTTTGAAAAGTCCATCTGTTCACAAATCGCATTGGAATGTGTTCTAGTGTCCCTTA